TAGTCACAGTTAGGGTAGCGGAAGTGACATTGTGTAGTTGTGAATATGTCAGTTTTCAAGTGTTTTAATTTTTGAAACGTTATGTTAGAAATTAGTGTGGAATACCTAGTTTGTCTGTGGGAGAGACTATTTTGAATCCAAGCAACAGAACTGAATAAAATTCATCTTTGTACAGAACTGGAGGTTTCCTCTGTTGACTGTTGTAAAATATCGGCGGTTCTTTTGTATGTAATCACGTTCGTACCAATCAATGAATCAGCCATATTCTGACACTTTGACGTTTAGCGACCGACGTTCGGGTTCAATATCAGGTTAAATTTGAGCCAGGGGAAGGCGAACACAGTTCGAGACAACGGGGAGTTCGCGATAGCTGATAGTAAATGACTGAAAAGGGCACTTGCTTTGGCATAATAACAAATGTGATATCCATGCAAATTAAGGTTTTGAAATATTATGGCTGTTTATTCTGCTTCCGACTGCTATCATTTGCTCACTGCTAACATCATGATCGAGAGCTTCATTACAAGGAACAGATCCGTGTTTGCTACTAACCCATGAGCTACAGATGGAAGTCGCTCTAACACGGCCAATTTGGTTTCTGTATGATTAACTGAGAGACCTGCAAGTTTAACACTTCACTGATTTACTACCAATCAAAGCTGACAAATTGCTTGACTACAACAGCGCAATGAGAGCTTCCGCCTAAAATTGCTGCCGTGGTGAAATCTCCGCACGACCTCAATTATCAATCTCGGTAGGGAAGCAATGCTTTGAAATTTTCTTTTATAGGGAAGAACATTGGGAGGAATACATTACCCGGATTACTTCACGGGTGTCTTGTTATTTGTTTGAACTTGATGTAAGCTTAAATCTTATGCAAACTTTCCAACCAGCTTGGTGAGCGAACAACAAAGCGAAGAGAGATCAAGTTCCTGCTTCAGTTGCTACAAGTCAAAGACTCGTTTTCTCTGAGTTTCGAAGGTAAGCATTTGGAGATCATTGGTGCTAAGAATAACCACAACTTGATTGTTTAAATGATGCCTTAGGTCGAAACAATCGTTTTATTGTTGAGGAAACTTATGCCTCGTAGCTTCAGTAATCGGAGCTTAAAAACATTCACCGCATATTCAAGTTGCCCTCTACCAATCCAAAACTTTCAAAACATTTTCGTGAGCTGATTTGGTTCGGCACGCGTGTGATCAGACACTCAAGCTACTGCAGTAACTCTTCGATACGAGCCAGAAATTACAGTAATAAAACGTGATTTTTAAGTCCTGCGGCGCTTGCTGTCTTCTCATGAAATGATTTTGCAGTCAACTTACTTTTAAAATTTGTTTACAGTACAAGAGACTGGAATTTCGCGACTGGTAAAGATTTTTTCTTCTTTTTTTATGTACGCAATCCGGTCATCGGTTGAAAATGACCTTCGTTCACTGAGCAATATTACAAAACCATTTTGTTTTGAAACGATTGCTTTGCATTATCTTCATAAAACACTATTGACAAATGATCACGAATTGAAGTTTAGAGCTACAGAATAAACAGGTTAAACATCACCCTTAAAGGAAGGTATTTACGGCTTTGCTTTCCTCTATTCTGTGAATCTTAAACGTTAATAATTCTTTAGCCGCCTAATTGATTACTCAAACGGTCAGCGAGCGTTGTATGACAAACAAAATTCAACTGGCTAATAAATAGTTGAAGCATCATCCATAAACTAGTTCTCTAACAAAGAAATTTTTGCTGCCTTTTCTAGTTGAAGATGCTTATGCCCAAATCGATCTTATCTCATCGAACGCGTCGTAAAGAGTCACAAGAAGATGGTAAGAGTAACATGGGAAGGTAAGAGATTGTCGGCATTACCTTAATGACCGATGCAAAGATATACTAATATGAATTGTTCAATAAACATGCACAATATATACAAAACTGTTTTTTTAGGTATGACCTCCCTTCAAAATAAACAAAAACGTGTCTGCAACACAAAATTAGTATAACATCTTGATGATCGAACTACTTGAAGCTGTTAACAGGGTAATTTGGTATTATCAACTAAGAAGCTGACGTTTTGAGCGTTAGCCCTTCGTCAGAGCTAACGCTCGAAACGTCAGCTTTCAAACTCTTGACGGTCGCCAATTTGTTATCAACTCAGTTGATTATACTCTCCCACCGACGCAGCACCACAGTTTCTTTAGAAACTTACCCACTCTACTCAGCTGTTAGTTTTGACAGTGAAAGCTTCATAAAATCAATATTGATAAAATTTAAAACTTACGCTTCCGTTATGCTTTTCCGCGGCCTCGCTGTCATACTTCCAGTACGAGAACACAAGATCATAATAAAGTATTGTCATTGAATGACCCTTGAGGGCCTCTTTACGCAATTTATCTTATCGTTAACCGTAAACGTTGACTGAGGTGAGTTGAATAACTACAACTCAGGGAAATTGCTCCTTTCATCTCTGTTCAGAAGGCGCAAACTTTACTGCATAAACGGACAATATTTGGAGATCACTGACGAAGGACGAGTGAAGGGAACGAGAAACTACCACAGTCCACATGGTAAGAGATTGCAGGCTCTCTTGTTCACCTAGTTGCCCTCATTTGCACAACTCTGTTGCGAATGAAGTACTCGGGCCATGAATCCGAGCGGAAAAAATGAGGTTCCGTAACTTTCACAACGAACCTATAAAACGTGTTTTGTTAGATATATATCTGTGGGTTCAAATTTCGATTCAAAGAAACTTTTGAATTTAGCAGGCCGTACAATGAAATACGACCCGTTACATTGACCAATCACCGCCCACGCCCGGAGAGATCTGATAGTTCTGTTTCTTTCAATTAGTTGTACAAGCAGGTTTTATGATCGGAACAATATATGGTATTTCTTCTTTTTTTTAATCTTTCAGTCGTGCTAGAGCTAGTTCCAGTGGCAAGAGACCTTATACATATTAGAGGAGTCCATACGGGGTTTTATCTCGCAGTGAACAAATGCGGAGAGGTGTACACCACGGTAAGTCATGGCAGGTTCTCTGCTCTTGTCGTTACTTAGATTTTATCGCATCAGTATTAATGAACAATCAGGCTGCGAAATATGCGAGGCGAAGATGAGCTTCATTTATTGATAATTGTGCGATTTTACACTTGCGGACGACGCGCTTTAAATCATGCAGCCACTCAATTCTCGTGTCCATGCTCACCCGTCCACCTGATATGCTTTTACTATTCTCACTCTCGGCGAAATAACCTTTCGAAAACTGTAAAATTTCCAAAAAAAGGATCGCTTTTATAACTTGTTAGTTAGACTCGTACATCTCATGCGCTTATTTGAATTATCAGGCCAAGAATTTTTAGGGAAAACTTGTCGAACGCTCTCCAAAAGTATCAGTTTACATTTGTCCTCAGACTTAATCTATTCACCAAAGCTCATCGTTTTTCTCGAACTATGCTCTCGAAATAATCTCTCATTTCTCCGAACTGGTAATATGTCCGCGGACAAACTTTGGAGCCTATTTTCCGCGGCAGCCCATCTAATACTAATTTTTCATTTACTTTTAAGAATATCATAAGGATGAGGACAACGCGTTTTAATTCGTTGCAATTTTCCTCCGTTAGTTTCCAGCAATAGTTGTAGTTAACTGTGTGTACAGTTCCCTTTCATGTTCTCATTGTGAATTAAGTTATTTAACAATTATTCGCAACAATTGTTTTTTAATACGATTGCTCATGTGCTGTCGAATTCTGTTTTAAACATCTGCGAGTAAAGGAAGCAGAGCGCATAGTTTGTTACAATTGTGTTGATTATTCGTATCAAGATTAGCAAGCAGTATAAACAGGTTCATTTCATTAAATCAGCAAAAGTTCACTATCTCTTTTTTTGAAAAGTTTTCCGCCAAACCCAGAAGCATCTTTTGTGCTCTTCGCAACTGAATTTTCTCCTGTCGCGTTTATCAATTCCTCAGAAACATTGACCAAACGCGAGGCACTCATTTGAAATTTAGTCCTCGACCAATCAGATCAGAGCGCGGGCATCTCTTAATTTTACTAAAAGCTGGATACTATGACAATTAATGTCTCTTATCTGTGTTGTTCTTAAAAACGAATTACTTTCCCTTTTTCACTGACATAGATGATGAAAAACGAAGAATGTATCTTCAGAGAAAAACTAACAAGAAACTTCTACGACAGTTACTGTTCCCACAAATACAGCCGTGATAACTTAGTGCTGAGACTCATGAAAATTGGGGCAGCAGTTACCACCACAAGAAGCGAGCGCTTTCGAAAAGAACATGAGGGACAATTCATAACAATGATTACTTTCTAATGTGCATGATCCATGAATCAAACAGATATCAAAGATTGGAAAATAAACTCTGATTGTTTTGTTTTGGAAAAGTGAATCAAGTCAGCCGATGTGGTCGACGACCCGTGGTAACAAATCTAAGTACGGGAAGGAATAGGTGGTCGCTGCTGAAAACTTCATATTTATGCCGATGATTCCCAAACTCAAACGACTCTCGTTAAATTTCATAATTAAATGATGTAAATCTTTCTTAGACCGGTAGACTGTAGAGAAATGACGAAACAATCCCTAGAGGTGAACTGTGTTGCATAGCTGTCAAGGTGTGGCATACTTCTCCCCATGGACGCCTGACATTTTAAGTTCTGGCGGTATCGCTTGTCACTTTGAGCCTAGTAATATATTACCTAGACATTGAGTTCTCTGTTGCTCTGTGGTAGGGCAGTGGAGTGCGAAATCCGAAGGTCTGGGGTAATCTCGTACTCAGATCCTACCTTTTAAATGTAAATGAAATGTACTTACAACCGCTCGACCCTGGAAGGTCTGGGTACGAGATTAGGTCTGGGGTTCAATTCCTTGAGGGCATTCAGATTTTCTCTTTTCTTTTTCAACTACCGAGCCCAAAACTTACCATTTTACTTATTTAAGCGGGAAGATTTATGACGTTATAACTGAACTGTGCGAAACTCTCTGAATCCTCATAACGTATAAAATCTGTTTTATTTCACACATTCGGCTTCCTTTGAAACCAGTTGTTACAGGCTATACGATATCTCAATAAATTAAAGTACATTGAAGTAATACGTAAATTCAAAGCGTACTTATGAAGGCTTGGTATTATATTACTACAAGACGGCAATGTTTTTTCTTTATGCGATGAAATACAATCTCCTAGGAAAAAGAAGTCAAGTTGACCTCAAATGGTTCAATTAAACGATCATTTCTAATTTTCAATAGGCTCGAGCGTAACTAACCAATCCTACACGTTTCTTCACAAACTTACGAAAAAAGGAATGAGGTAAATTCCATTTCCAATCACTTTGCTATGAATTTTTGTCTTTGGCCAAGAACTTTGTTGCTGATAATAATCTCTAGTTTTTTTTTTTGGTTATTTTATTTTTGATTAAGTCTTAACATATCAATATATTCATGAAGATCAGGCTTACTACATTTATCAAGGACTTTTCAGAAAAGGGTCCCTTGGTCAAACGATGACTTAACACTGTTTGTCACAATGCATTTTCCCACCGAGGCATAAACAGAATTGGCAACTATCGGAATACTGCTCCAATGACTGTTGGCAATAGATAAAAAAGAACGTTTTAGTAAAAAAAAGTAATAATACTAATAATACTAATACCAATAATGATAAGAACAAGATGAAGAAAGTTGTAATTATGCCATCTATGATGTGAAAGACTCATAGAAAAGCCAGCTCATAATTTGCATTTCCTCAGCTTAACTTTTTCTTCCTTGGAACAAAGTCACAGTGAGCAGTGATAGTTGACTCATGGAGCAATTTTTGGTAGGGTGTGAAATGCAATCAGGGAATATGTTAGATTTGTTTAAGATGTTTTCCTACGCTCTGATTGGCTACATACAGCGCACTCTAAAACCAACACTCTCCATTTGCAGTCGAACGATTCTCACATATGAGTGAACCAAAATATTAAAATAGGATGCTTAACATGTCAATTACCCTTGATGTGTTTATGTTATAGAAAACTCTCAAATGAAGAACTGTTAAGGTTCATTGATCGCCAAAACCACAGCCCAAATTGGATCTCTTTAATAGCCGACTCATGGAGTTTGAAATTTTTGGCAAGCACCGTGCGAGTTGTACATGCCAGGCTCTCGACAGGAGTGAACTCCTCTTATTTAACATAACCTCCCTACCTTGTATCTCTTTCCTTTGTGCAAACAACCACAGCGAGCAGTTGCCATACATTTTCCCTGTCCATTCAGTACTCTTCCTTCAGGGCAGAAACAACCCTGAGTACATGATTGGCATTTGAGGCCATCATAATTTGAACAGGTGGCGTCACAGCCACACTTAAAAACTTTTCCAGTACCGCGACACTGATCCTCTGAGGAAATGAAAATGATAAGAAAAGTAGAACAAAGCGTTTATTATGGATTAAAGTTAAGGATCAGATTTCAACGAATTGAGCAGGCGGTTAGGTGAAGCCTATCGCTATTCTTGTCTTATTTAGATCAACTCCTCCAAGAAGGACCCGTTACACCATCTAATGTAAAGCTCGATCGACGTTATTAAGTTTGCCTTGAAATAAGATATACGAGATGTTGTCTTCGGCTTCACAACTTTTGGGAAAGACGATAAGACGCAGATTGGCTCGATGAGTGCACTAAAGTTGAATTTTTGTGATGTGATACTTGAATCTTTAATGAAAACTCACCTTTACAAATTGGACAGCACTGTCCCTTGAGAGTCACAACGTCCCCTGACTTTCCACTGCAGTCAGGCTTCGGGCAGACTGGCGGTGAACATGTGACCTTACCACCCTGTAGAAAGACCACATCATTAAGTTAAATGATGCATTTTCCATTACACTAATGGCCTTTCTTTTCCCGTCCTTTCTCACAGAAGAGAAGTTCCGCTTACCTCACATTTGCAGGTCTGACAACTATCGTTACTTGATTTCCATGTCTCGCCCTCCATGTAAGTCTGATCGTTATCCTTACAGACTTGGCATGTGTATGTGCAAATCACCTGGCCCCACTGGATAAAAGAGAGGTAAAAAATCAACGCAATGAATGACAAAACGATGGTTCAAGCAACTACGAACAGATTTGTAAGCATAACCGTAGTCGACCCGAGGAGAACGCATAGTACTCGTGTCGCGTCTTTCTGGATGCTGTGCTATTTCAGGTTTGGGCGCCATCTTGGATTGTCTAACCACTCGCCTCAATTTTATGCGAGAGTTTTGAGTCCTGCCGGCTAAGTGAAGTCCCGCGGGTTGATTCGCACACAGTGAAGTATAGATGAACACAGAATAACTTTTTGCGCAATTTTGTCCTTCTACTCGCTTTGCCGATGCCATTTTATTCGGTCCACTACCAAGGTTTTAAATTATTAAACCTTATCTTCTGCCTGCCTAAAAAGCATCTCGCAAGTCAACTTTCCCTAATATTTCTGGGAAGTCAGTACAACAAACAAAAATATTATTTTACTCGAGATCGAAAGCATTTTACTAATCCATGATTATCACTAATTTCAGATCTTAATTATTTTTAGTTATTAATTTTCTAACGAGCTCATGGCAGATAAAACAATCAAGTCTCCCATGAGAATTCCAACTGACAAGGAACCATCAAATTTCGCGGTTGTATCAAAGACCTACCGGATAAGCCACAAACAACTCTTTTGTGAGTTTTGCTCTATTCTGAATGCCAACTTAAATATTCCTAAAATCAGTTCTTTTATTCGTGGGTACAAATTCAACATCACAAACCCTGGCTTATTTTAAAGTCCAAAACGTTACTTTATCAAAAGCTGTAGCCACATTTTTTTCGTGACGTAGAATTTAATTTGAAATACGAATTTCCTCATGTAATCTCTCGCGCTCCTACCGGTTTTAGTGCGCATGCTCACCTCGCAGTGACAAATGTTACACTTATCCCTTGTCCAGCGGTTTCCGTCCGCGTATTTCAATCCATCAACTACACAGTCCTTTTTGCCAACGACATCAGTGCACTGACACTGAGAAGAAAAAATTAGAACAGTATTTTCATTAATCAGAATATTATTATATGCAAGCCATGTTACAAGAAACATTTCAAACTCTCTAGATTGGATGTTAGTCCATCGCAAACCAACATGACGTCTTTGGGACATTTCACCTGTATTTGCTAACAGGAGGTCAACAGCATTAAGCTGTACCATGTACATATGACGACTGCTAAAATTAGAGTTCGCATCTGAGAGTTAAATTACATTTTAAATCACATCTGATAAGATAATAACTTTCAGAACTTTTTTAACCATTTCACTCCCAAGATCTTATGAATAACTCTCCTTACTGTCTGCCATTGAGTTCTTAGGATGTCAGTTCCGAGAATTTGATATTGGATCAACTGATAATCCCCTAATCGATATTTATTTCTTTATTTTCATCTTTCGTCTGCTTAATTTTGTGCCGATATCGTAGGAAAAATTCTGTCTTGGTCGCTCATGGGAGATGAATGAATCTTCACAAAAATATTTCGTTGAAGTCGTCATTGCACCGAGGTTGAATTTTGACAATCACATACCTTTGCGATCTTGGAGCAGTCGCCAAGGGGTGACCCTCTGACAAATTTGACATCTTGTAGATCCCCCTACAAAAAAAAAATGTCACGACAACTGAATTTTGTAAAAACCAAAACACTGGAAAAAAATATAAACAGTTCAAAGCAATAGAATATAACTTTCTTTTGCACATGGTTATTTTTTTCAGGTGAACCCAAAAATCCCTCTTAGAAAAATATCAAGGCTAAAAAACCACCTTACTTTTCAGACAGGTTCTACATGTTACACCTGGACTATCCTTCGCCCACTTTTTTGTAGCTTAAATGGACGTCAGTGGAAACACGAGTTAAAAAGAATTTGAATCTTGCAAGGTCTGCTTGCAGAACAGCTTACCCTAAATCGTGAGGTTATTTCACCAGTGTTTTCTAAGTACACCTCGAAAACCTGTCCGAGACGCAGCTGTGCATCTTTAGGGTATGGCTGAGGGGTGTATCTAAAGGAAAACACGTTGATCATGCTGTCATCCACGTACACTCTCATCAGGGATTCGGATTCCTGGATTCGAACCGCTATCTTGTGCCATGTTGTGTAGTCCAAGGATCTGCTACTCGAAGCTTCAAATCTTTTGGGGGATCCTCCCTTCGTCTGCACTGTAACAACTATTTCAAGTCCTGATCCTCGTGCATTCCCTCTGAGCCACGGTGAAAAAATAATTAAATAAATGAACACGTGATAAAATAAAAGGAAAAAAATGGCATTAGGAAAAGTGTTTACATGACTTATCCTTAGCTTGCGAGATGGGTGGGTGGACAATGGGCCACGCGGGGAAAGGGACTTACACGCGCGTCAGAGAAGAGAAGCGCGCGCACTTACCGGTGGAAATCACTGCTGCTCGAGTTCAGTGAAAATTATTGTCTTTTGGGTCAATTGACACTTCAAACCCCAAGAGTAACTGGCATCTAATTTCTCCTCACAGTATCATTTATAAATCAAACGCTACGGTAGTGAGAATGTAATATATGATCGCCCGCTAACTCTTTGTAAGTACCATGGAAAATGTAAAGTGAACCGCGAAAAAAATGGACAAACGTATTTCAGGGTGTAAAGGGTTAAACGAATTTAAAAAATCATACTATGGGAAATGGAAAATCGTTTTTAACGGCTCTGGCTGCTATTTTGAATTCATGGAGATACTGTAGAGTGCTATACTCATGCATATATTAACTCATTCTCGCTGCCAGGTAGAGGCAAAATCCAACTTGCCGGCTGGTATTTTGAAAGCCATAGAGTCGCAAAATGAGCGACGAAACCGCGACAAGAGTGTGGAGTAGAAATCTAATTTCCGTTGCTCATTTCGGCGTCTCCACAACCTTCTTTTTCAACGAGTGTCAAAAAACAGAAAAAACCGCCAGCTTTGGACGCCACGCAAGATCAAAGGTTTTTTTTCCTTAGGGACTCAAAATAAAGTTCGCTGCGTGATAATAGTCGACAGTCAGCAATTTCGTGGCTGTCTTCTTTAAGAACGTATAACGACTCTATTTTACTGCTGAAGAGCTACATAAACAAAAATAAGCTCTGGCCCAGAGAGGACCGTCAGTTCAAAAACTAATATTGACTTTTCTGTTAGCGTGAAAAGGAGTGATACATTTCGCAACGGAAGTGTTAATTCGCCATATAATTAACAGGAAAAGAGCTTTACTAAAGATAAACGCAATACTCACGAGATCTGCAATAGGAAGTATAATTGATTGCCGTCCTTTGAATTAATGGAAACGATAGGGTTTTTGTAGATCTCCTTGGCCCCGAGCTTAGCGTAAGCAGAGACAATAAAATCACTGCTGTTGTGGATGAGTTTGTCAACCTCTTCAAATGCGTTTTGACTTGCAATCATGTGATCAGTTTTTTGTGTGAAGTGATATGCCGGACTCTTGTTGTTTTGTCCAGCTGTTGACGAAACTCCTGGGAAAACCTTACTGCCAAGACCCACTGCATCGAAAACATTAATTTCTTTGGGAAGATCTGTTAAGAGATATAAAGCATACGAGATTATGAAAGCTGTTCAGAGTAAGAACGTATTACATTTCAACTTATGTCTGTGTAGGATTATCTTCCTCTGAGCGAGGTTCACGTAATCTTGTTAGCAAACGTATCAAGCGATAGAACAAACGGTCATAGATTTGGGTGAGAGAAAACAATTTATCGGTAAATAACGATGAACAAGGCATTAGACCGACAAACATAATCTGTATATAAAACGCTCGATACAGTGACGACAACTGAACTTAGGTTTACTAAAGATAAACGAATACCCTAAATCTGCTTCGAAGAATTTCGGTTGTTGTTGGTGGAATTCAATAACAAGAATTTCAAGCTATAAAAGCACAACAACACCAGTGAGACTTTAAACTGGGGCTTCTGAGTTTTCAAAAACTTCCATCGTCCCAGTCGGCATCAACGCTGACTGAAGCGGACGGAACTTGCGCAACGTAGCTAAGGGGTGCCGACAGATTATAGAGATGTAAAACTCATTTAGTGATATTACAGGGTAATGAAAATTTCTCAGCATGTATTTCAGTAACTCAAGATATGATCATGATATGTTGCTCATTCTTTTGTTTATACTGCTTGTTGAATGTGAGATAACCTCTCATGACTCGGCCGGTGAAGCTGCGCAGTGTTGTCATATGAGAAGCTTTCCACTCTCTTCGCCGCTTGCAGCAGTGACACCACAACGGAACGAACGTAACGAAAAGGCAGAAGATGGTACTCTGTATATCAGCCTTCGGTAATTGTCTTGAATATAACGACAACATGTAATAATTCGGTGACCCGACCGGGAACATGTGTTTATCTTGTCTTCAAAGGTATGAAAATGAAATACATAAAATAACCAAACACTCATAGACTTACTACTATTTGATGATATTCTCTGTGTGAGGAAAAACAAAAAGATTCCTGTAAAAACCACGTCACGAAGTCCTGCCATCGCGTGTTTTGGTTTAAGTAATTCTTTTAACTGAATAAACTGCTCCAAGTTTAATTTGCGTCTTGCTGACCCTCCTTATCTGTCTGGCGAGTCAATAACTGGTTGAATTTATTTCAGGAGTAATCTGAGAAATAATCAGGGAGGGGCGCTATCCGTCATCATTGTGACGCAAATCGGTTAAATCAGCTAAGTACAGGAAACCTTCAATCAAATACGTAACTATCAATTTTGGAAGCACTTCCACAATTCGAGCGCGGATGACGACTGAACAACCACTAATAAGTTAAGTAAACAAGGAAAATGAACGAACGGGAAGGGTGTTTATGCTTGCAGTCTGTCCTGTGGAACGTGTTTTCAGGCCTATGTTACCGATACTTTCAGAACAGGAAATAGCGAACGTTCTAGAACAGACTAGTATTCCCTGGAGACACTCGAAACAGCTATTATTCTGTACTCGCTCTATCTCAGTTGGGATTTATTAGATGATATTGTCTATTACGTGATAAACAATGGGTTAGTAGGTAGGTAAACAAGCCGCCCTCCCTACCTTCCCGCCCTACTCTGCAGTTTGTTCCTCTTTTCCGAGAGACGTGACGATTTTGAAACCGGAAGTGGAGGACACAATAGGTCACGATTCAATGATTTTTCCCTTATTTGGTCAGCTCCGTCAATCGATGCAACATGCTGAGATTGTGATAAAACATGGGAAAATTTTCGTTTAACTACTTGATGGCAATCGTCACAGTTCCGTTGAAGTAGAGAGATATCAAAAGTGATAACTGAGTATTTTTTGAAATTATGAGCGAAAACTTGACCTTTCATCTAAAATTATTGAGGGCTTCCAGTTACAATACAACGCGACTATATCAGCTACTGAATACCACAACAGACATTCCTCGGGAGGGGTGTGAAAAGGGGATGAGTCAAGTGGAGTGAGTCAGAGGACAATGCTGTAAGATAAATGATTAATAAATAATATAATTCTGATAACAATGGGCAAGACCAGACAATTTATCACTACACTTGATAGAAACAACGTGCGTGTCTTTATTTATATTTCTTTTTTTTTAGATTTCATAAATTTTTTCACGGAATTGGAGTATGCACTGCGATCATTTGTCGAGTTTTTTAACTTTCAGTCAATGATAACTGTCCTTCCGTTTTAATCAATATTGACAATTTCGAGTGGAGAATCAGATCAAAACAATCCACAGTCGGAGAGGCCTGTAAAAAATTTCAATAAACGGTACACTGCGATCGTCGATTGTCTTTTATTTTGCAATGGAAAATTTCCTAATCAATTCAAACGGAAAGACAGTTATTGCTCAAAATAAATATTAAAGGTCGCCATACTCGTATAGTTATGAGTATAGCGACCATCAAAATCTTCTCAAAATGTAATCATAATATTCTCAGACTTCGATGAACAAACAGTTTGACTCTCGTCACGTAAAACGGTAATGTAAGTGATACATGTGCTCCTAAAAAAAGTTCTGATTAGCTTTCAAAGTGAAATCAGCTTTTTCTTGGGGGACCATGCAACCTTTGAAAAGGAAATAGGAGGTGCTCCCACAAGGGAAAAGGTAACATAAAATGTCAAAAAAATGCATGAATTCGCTAATCATAGATGACGATGAGCTCGAGATTTTTACCGCGTGATAGTTGATGAGGGCGAAGCCCAGTGGCCAACATCAACTATCACGCTAAAGAAATAGAGGACGAATAATCTAATTGTTTTCATATCAATCAGGAACCCATTACCAATGGGCTCCTGAATCAATCTATTTGTCGTTTAAACTCAACAACAAGACAGGCTCATGTTTTGTTGTTGTTTTTTTTTCACAATCGCATGAAGTCAGGAAAGAGAATACAACAAGTTTATAATCCTAAATTGTTAGGCTTCTCACTTTATTGATTGTCTATCACTGAAGCTACATAGCGAGTAGCGTCGCCAGTCAGATTGCAGCATCTGTGAAAAGAACATCAGTTGATTTATAATTCATTGTATAATAGCGCTCTTTGCGGGCGCTGATTCGCTGGCTCGGAGGAGATTACCACAGCATATTTATTACTATTAGTACAAATACCAAAGTACTAAGCGACTAGAGAGCTACAAAATGGATTCCCATTTCGCTACGGCTCACTTAAGAGAAAAGCATTTCAAAAAACGAGTCAGCCGTGATAATTATATGGATAGCGGCAAAGTCCAGTAGGATGGCTTTATACTGTTATTGCATTAAAAGAAAGGTTTCGTAGGCTGTTGAACTCTAGAAAAGGAAAAGTACCTAAAACATGTGATGTTTTGCAGCATTGTAGTCTCAGTTGCAAAAAAATGGAAAAACCAATACCTGGGCAAGTATACAATGCATCCTAAAGAAATCCAAGCTTCCAGTCGCCTAAAGGACTTTTAGAAAGTAAACACAAAATGATTTTGAACGAAGTGGAGGGTACTTGAGATAGTGGTTGTTATTAAGAATTGACTGTATTCAGGGCCCCGATACATACATATACATACATATATATATATATATATATATATATATATATATATATATGCACCATTCAATCGTTTACATATTCTAATTTAACAATTTCAAGAGAGTATCAATGTTCAATAAGTAATGCTTTCTTTCGAAGATTGATGTTTGCTTTCAATAATACACATTTATATTCAACCTTACACCTGGTTAATTTTTGAAAACAAAAATAATTACTTTCAACTTCAATCTTCATCATCTAATGCAGATGTATATATATATTTTTTCATTCTGCTTTAATTCTGGGAAGCTGTTATCTCCAAAATCTAGTCGCAATGGCTGCATCTAGCTGAAGTCGCGTCATCATCTGAAAATAGTATCCGAAGACTCGAAAATTAGCTCATTTATACAATACAAGCTATACCGTGAGAAAATAGAGCCTCGTGATGAGGGAACAGCTCGCATAAACTTTTCAAAAATTATTACTTATTGACGTGAATTTTGCCGTACAGGTCCTGCTCAGTTTGATTATTTGCTTTTGATCTCCATCACGTGACAGCCTATTCCAGCTTTGAACGAGCCAACGATCACGCGATAGAAATCTTACGCTCACTATTTTTTAAATTTGTGGTGAGCATAGCACAGAAAAGCAAAATTTTGAAACAACTTTGTTTCATGTAGAAAATTCTAGACCGGTTGGCAGCCTGAATAATCCGCGTGGTCGATGTTCTTCAATGCAAATTGAGAAGAGCTTGGCGTGACCTTCACAGTTTCATCTTGGTAACCAGTGGAACAACACATCTCTATCACGTGACCCTTAGTTATGCCGTGATGCACTCCAATTTACTCTCTCCATGGCGGGGCGGAAGTATTGGATTTAAATTTTTCACTAATTATGGACATCAAGCCCTTGAGAGTTGAAAAATATCATCCATTACTACAAGGGTGTTTGATTTCGGTGTATTTTAGAACTTAGAAAGATTTGAAGGATACTACAAACCCACAGTAAATCCAGGAACCAGCACATTCACGCCGCTAAGGTCAGTTTACTCATTCAAGCTACCAAATTGGTCGCTACCTTACTTCTTAAAGATCTCAGTTTTAATGATGAAAAGAATGGAGGATATAAGAGATTGTGATAAGCTTGACAACAATTTAACCAGAACTCTGCTTTGAACTGCTTTAGTTAAATGTCAGGAGTAATTTCACGTGTGGGTGTAAATCCTGTTTAACTCGCGATCGATAGCCATTTCAGTCGACAAAGTTAACCAACATTTAAACCTTTGGTGGAGTTATTTAGAGAAAGAGAAGACCACCGAAAGCTGGCAAGAAGACTATAAGTGTTAGGAACATTTTGAGCCTAGAAGCTCATTTAAAGCACCCGCAGAATGTTTATACAAAAATGGATATTTGTTATTTAGATGCATTGAGTTTCGGAATTTGATTTTTTCATTGTCTCAATCATTATGGAGTGTAATTAGAGAATTCAAAAACGCTTCTTCCTCACAATGTTATTTGCTTCGTTCCATGTCAAAACTGACAACCTTTATTCATTACGAAATCATTATAATTTAAACAAAGCGCGGTGCTCGTGCTTATGCTAATTGTATGGTTGTGCGTGCTGTGCGAGTGTGAAGGTGACATTTACCTGGTGTAACAACAAGATTGAAGGAGTTTTCGGTTGCGTTACGTAGATCAATCATACCTCGGTGATACCAGCAAAAATGAGCTGTCTCCTTACAGTCTGTTCAAAAGCATTACAATCATTATTCAAACTATCATCGATTATCTGGTATTTCAGTGGCTGCCCCAGATAATTGTTTTGGGATAGCAACTCGATTAGAACAGTCCTAATGTTAGCCAGACTCGACTGAATACGAGCTCTTTTGGGTCTTGTTTTTCTGCTATTTCTTCTATTTTCTGCTCAATAGACTGTTGAACGTTGGAATCTCACCATCAAGCATTGCTTGGTTTACCAGCTACCTCTCCGACCGCCGACAAGTTGTGCTTTTGTAAACTTTGTCCTGTTTACTAGGGATAGAACTCTAACGAACGAGACTCAATTAAACTGTTTATTCCGCTCTCGTATTCGCTTATTTACATCGGGTGTGTAAAAAGCTACTCTGCAAAATTTGTAAGAAATCACTCTCTTATACGATATTTTCTACATTATGATTGGTTGTTACCGAGTACTGATTTAAAAAGGTCATTCAAGGTTGCGTTAATTATGTAAACCATTCAATGTCCATAATGTTCGCACTCATCATCTGACATGTGTCACGCACGAATCAAAGTCTCCGACAGTGCGCATAAATTCTGAGTTGTCTGATCCTCTACCCGTTGTATCAGGCGTGCCTCAAGGAAGCATTCTTGGACCTATGTTGTTCAGTATTTATGTAAACGACTTACCACTCGCCCCCCTTTCCTAAACCTCCCTGATATCCGTCTCTCCCTCTTAGGAAAAGAGCTGACACCGGAGCACGTCGTTAAAGACCTAGGTGTGATTTTTGATTCGAACCTAACTTTCCACGAGCAAATTGTTAAAACTGTTTCCACCTGTTTCTCAAGTTTGGCCCAGATTAATCGTGTTAAGCACGTATTTGACAGATCGACTTTAATTACTATAATTAACACTTTAGTGTTTAGTAAGTTGTTTTATTGTTCCTCCGTCTGGTCCAATGCTGCTGGCACTAACCTCCTCAAGCTCCAAGCGATCCAGAACTTTGCAGCCCGGATTATTTGTGGATCCAGAAAATTTGACCAATCATGATTCAAACTATCATCTTTTAAATGTATCTGGATGTCTTCGAAGTTTCTAAGTAATGTTAGCGGTCGCACGACCAGATAACTGTTGCACATACCATTATACAAAACTAAATCTGGACAAAGAACTTTTTATTATCGCACTGTCAGTCTGTGGAACAGTTTAGATAATGATCTTAAACTTTGTAATTCTTCTTCTAATTTTAAGCGTAAACTTAGGGCCAAATTATTTGCTGCTTTTCTTTCTCCTCGGTCCTAGTTTTTAATCATATCATATATTTTTTATTGTCCTTTTTTTAAAGTTTCTTAGTTTTTATCTTGCCCATTTTATCGTACCTTCTTAAAGTTTCTTAGTTGTAATTTTCGTAATTATTTTTAGCTTTATAGATTAAACATTTTTATTATTGTAATTATTAATTGTCACTGAAAAGCCCTCTTAGGGAGTGTCAATAAAGTTTGTATTGTATTATGAAATAAGTACCTGTCCGTTCATTGCTTCCTTAATCTGTCTGCCTTGTTATAGAAGTCAGATGAGTGCACCACTCTATCATTTATACATTCTGAATTGACAATTTCAAGAGAGTATCAATGTGAATGCTTTCTTTTGAAGATCAATGTTTGCTTTCAATAATATACATTTATATTTAACTTTACAGCTAGTTAATTTTTGAAAAAAGAATATTTACATTCAACTCCAATCTTCATTATCTAATGCAGCAAAAATATATGTTCAAATTTAAACTTATTCAGTTTGATTTATAACAAAGTTCGGACATAACGTGCGCTGCCATTGGTTGAAAGAGCGTCTTCTATCAGAGTACAAATCAAGGAGTGGAAGTATAAGTTGTCACGCCATCTGCCAATTTGTACAATGTCCGACCATTCCCCGGACTTCTCTTTAGCTTATTTTCGTTAATTGAAAGTTAAATTTTTGAACAGTCGGGCCGGCAAGTAGCATCAGAAGAACCAAATAAAGGTTTGAAAACATGTTAAGTGCCGTAATTGTCGAAATTATAACGTGAGCAAAAACCAATATCATTAAAGAAAAAACTAAATGGACTTTCCGAGTTTTGAAGGTTTTAACGCTTCGATTGTCTTTTGATTACATGCACACAGCAAACACTCGTATAGTATATGTAGTTTCGTGTCCAAAAACAAAACAGAAAAAAAACAGGAATGATGAAAAAAAATAAACCAAACTGGCCTAATTGTTTAGAATGTATACAAATCACGGTGTAAGAGAAACTGTGATCCTAGCTCATCATAGCAATCATTGGTCATCGTACCGATGGAAAGGATAGCTCTGCCATACTTTTGTGATTTTCTGAGTGGAAGGCCACAATAGACGGATTTTAGGGACGCTTCCACCCCGAGCAGTCTTCATGTTCCTGTGAATTCGGCTGTCGATCATTCATGAAACACACCTCTTGAGCAGTTTGTTTTCCAAGTATCACGTTAAAAAACTTGCGTGTTTTCACGAGCCACAACTTGGCCGAATTTCACTGAACATTGCAGATTCTGTATTTAGACTTACAAACTACGAGCCAAAAAGTTGAATTCGAGTTGCAGAATTATTTGCGCTTGTAAACCACTGCAGATTGTGAATGATTTGACATTTTTGACAGCTTTAGTCTTATTCAACCAATCAGGAGTATTTGCACTTCTGAATGACTTATTTTAGCGTGTTTTCATGAGAGTATGAAACATGCTATATCATAATGATGTTTCATAATCATATGAAATATATATATATATATATCATGCTATATCATATATATATAAGTGTCTCTTGCGCGCGCGTGTGTGTGAAAAAAAAGTACATTTGACGAGGAAAAAAAAGGTTTATATTTTATATTTCCAAATTGCAACGTTTTTGAAAACGGGTATATATTTATTATAGCACTATAAACTCCTGCAGCTGATCTAATGGCTATCAATTTGTTTAAGGTTTTCCCACATTTGTCAACTTGCTTGTCATATTCATTTCCGATTTTAGGACTAGTATTTATGACATGGCAGAAGAAGCCCTACGATCAACAAGTCTTAAAGCAAATTTTCATCGCCTGACACGATTACTGATGCGTGGAGGTGTGAATCTTTTGCGGGAGACATTTGACTCCATTCACTCACCAGCTGATCTCCCTTTGAGACTCGCTGATCCTGCCATACAGGTACAGCTGAGAGGAGCAAGACTTACCCAGCCAGAGAGGAATTGTCTGTACCCAACCCCAGGGATGTATGGAAAGTCCAACGATTTTGACATCACATTAATCTTCAAGTTACTCAGGACAATATGCAACCTGACCCCTCCCCCTGGACCGAGAGGATGGGATGATTTACCAAACGGCTCAGACCACACTCTGGTGGCAGATTTAGTGCGAATAAAATATTATCGAAATGAGATTTATGGTCACCATCACAGCATGGAAATATCTGCCGCCGAGTTTGTTCGTCTCTGGAGGGAAATTAGTGAGGCTCTGTTACGAATTGCGACAAATATTAGTCCTGCAAAGAGAGATGAATGGAAGAAGTCCATTGACGATCTTCTCTGTAAACCTTTGACGCCAGATGAGGAAATATGCATTAAAGAGCTAGAGACCTGGTATATGCAAGATCTGGAAATTAAAAATGAAGTGGTACAGCTGACAGAGAAAGTGGACTTTCTAACAACTTTGGTTTTAGGTCAGTAAAAGAGTAAATTTAAGTCCCCATCAGACAAAAATAAGGAAACCTTATCCTCAGTTCCCTTTAATGTTAATCCAATGTGGCCATTTCCTCCGAAGATCCTCATTTAATTTCTTTTATCTCGCACATTTGCCATAAAAATAAGTTTACAAAACACCAATAGTGCTCTTTTTTTTTAGTTCAAATGCAGGTCAATATTTTGCTCTTTTTCTTTTAGTTATACTGATAAACGTACTTGGACCTAATGCTGCTGGATCCGAACCATTAGTACCTGTGCCACAACAAGCAGAGGGAGTTGATGATCCCGAAGCAAATAATCCATTATTACCTGAGCCGGAACATGTAGAGGGAGCATATGACCCCGAACCAAATAATCCATTATTACCTGAGCCGGAACAAGCAGAGGGAGCTGATGACCCTGAACGAAATAATCCACAGGACATAGATGTTTGGGACGTAATTTTATCATTTAAAGAATCAACTGATTTATTCTTACGATATTTGAGTTCGAAACTTCATCTTCGAGTGCGTAACAAAGGGAAAGGGAGCTGGCATATAACAGTTGAATGCAGTTCATCGCAAGTCCTTGAAGGTTTGTGGGAGGATTATCGCAGTGGTCATCTTAATTCAGTCGCCCAGGAAATGCTAATAACACAACAGGTTTTGGAGAAACTTGGTCGTACGGAGCTGAAGCTGAAGACCTTTATTTCCGAGGATCAGTATGAGAAAGGGAAAAAACTATTAAAGGCGAGCTCAGGTGATTATTGTGAGTTTACCAACATTGAAGTCTAAGCGTTTTTACAGTTTTTTTTTATTCATGATAATAAGGCACACTTCACCGAAAAGGAAATATGGACAGCGAATTGCAAATAATTAAGCTCAGTTAGGTATTTTTCACTATCTAGAGCCAGCCAAGGGTCTTGATGGTCTTTGATCAGATGCAGCAATTAACAAGTGTAGTGAAGTTTGTATAAAAAAAGAAAATAAAGGGAGGTGAAGAATTAGACCCGAAATTGAATCCAACCAAAAAATAGTTTTGACTGATTTTCCATTTGATTTGTTTTTCCGTTTCCTTAATTTTAATTATTAAAAGGAGCGGAAGACAAGAGCGACACTCAAAGCGCCTTTCAAGCTACAATCACAAAGGCTTTTTCTGAAGGATCTATCGAGCCAGGTAACACTGATACACCTCAAAGATAGTTAAATATTTACGAGGCAGTTAGTTGGTGGATTTGTATAGCACCGATGCTCAGGCCTCAAGAGAGAGCAGCTGGAACCTGTTCAGATACTCTCCGCATTAAGTTACAATTCATGCATAGTCTCGGAGATATCGATGTTAGTTTACAGTAATCAGATTAATCTTTTTGAAGTGTTAATCACTGTTCATGGTATAATCCTATCTCGAACTTTTTTTTTGCTCTTTTCTTTTCCTATGTGAAACAAACAGATCTCCCGGCAAGGATATCAACATTAGAGCGCGAAAACGTTGAATTGAAGGAAAAAGTGAAAGCTATTCAGGGAAATTTTCAAAGTGAGAGAGGTAAAGGAAACTTTAGGAAGAATAATTGTGCATTTTAATGACTGCGTATTTTGGTCATGTTGCTTTTTAGATTAAACCTTTTGAAAGCTTATATTTCTCAGAGGATAATTTATTACATTGTTTAGACACTCTCTGTATTATGTTATAATTCACGTATAGTCATGGAGATATCGATGTTAATTTACAGTAATCAGATTAATCTTTATGACGGTTCATAATATAACCCTATCTTGAACTTTAACCCAAAAGTTTTTTTATTTTTTTGCTCTTTTCTTTTCCTATCTGAAACAAACAGATCTTCTGGGGAGGATATCAACATTAGAGCGCGAAAACGTTGAATTGAAGGAAAAAGTGAAAGCTATTCAGGGAAATTTTCAAAGTGAGAGAGGTAAAGGAAACTTTAGGAAGAATAATTGTGCATTTTAATGACTGCGATTATTTTGCTCATGTTTCTTTTTAGATTAAACCTTTCGAAAGCTTATATTTCTCAGAGGATAATTTATTACATTGTTTAGACACTCTCTGTATTATGTTATAATTCACGTATAGTCATGGAGATATCGATGTTAATTTACAGTAATCAGATTAATCTTTATGATGTGTTAATCACTGTTCATAATATAGCCCTATCCTGAACTTTAACCCAAAAGTTTTTTTATTTTTTTGCTCTTTTCTTTTCCTATCTGAAACAAACAGATCTTCTGGGGAGGATATCAACATTAGAGCGCGAAAACGTTGAATTGAAGGAAAAAGTGAAAGCTATTCAGGGAATTTTTGAAAGTGAGAGAGGTAAAGGAAACTTTAGGAAGAACAATTGTGCATTTTAATGACTGCAATTATTTTGCTCATGTTGCTTTTTAGATCAAACCTTTCGAAGCTCATATTTTTCGGAGGATAATTTATTAAATTGTTTAGATACTCTCTGTATTATGTTATAATTCATGCATAGTCTTGGAGATATCGATGTTAATTTACAGTAATCAGATTAAGCTTCATGATGTGTTAATCACTGTTCATAGTATAATCCTATGTTGAACTTTTACCCAGGGTTTTCTTTTTTGCTCTTTACTTTTCCTATGTGAAACAAACAGATCTCCTGGCGAGGATATCAACATTAGAGCGCGAAAACGTCAAAGTGGAGGAAAAAGTGAAAGCGGCTATTGAGAGAATTTTTCAAAGTGAGATAGGTAAGGGAAACTTTAGGAAGGACAATTGTGCATTTTAATGACTGCAATTATTTTGCTCATGTTGCTTTTTAGATCAAACTTTTCGAAGCTCATATTTCTCAGAGAATAAGTTATTAAATTAAAAGATATTGGTCAAGGTGGACGGGTTCTATGGCCATATAGCCGTTAAGATCCCATGAGAATTTTAAAATGCATTTATCTAGTCAGAAAATTGCCATAAGCGGCATCCTCTTCTCTTTACATATGACCCTTTGAGAACATTAGGCAGGACGAAGTCTCGCCATCTATCCTCTTGCCAATGGAAACAATCACAAAGGCTGCAAACCCTAAGAAACGCATTTTTATTGTCCGAGCTTCCGATTTTTCAAACGAAGAAACGTGATGCCCTCGCATCATCTTCAATAGACATAGCTCTGCAAAAATTAAGAGATAGGTTTTGGTTTTCTGAGGAGAATTCCGACCCCACAGAAATTGTTGTCGACGCTTTGGATCGAAAACGCTCTTCTCCGGGAATGAGAAACAAAAGGCTGTCTGGTCTGCCTCGTACGCAAGCTAATTTTGTGTCGCACAATATTACAACTGGGGCCAAGAAAGCTGTAGCATACACCAAAAGATGACCAGCTATAATTGAATCGGGTGACAATATTTCACAATACACGCAGTCAACTCTCTCGTAAGCGGAAAACCTTAGGAATTGGAAAAAGTGTCCGTTGGTAGAAATGTCCGCCTACGAGAATTATATTATTCCCACAAACGGACACCAAAGAAAAATAAGGTGGATGTATGCTTATGAGAGAGTGTTAAGTCGGACTATTGTTTATGTCAAACGAACGGACAGCTGGCTTTCCTTAAAAAAAAAAATGGAGATTTAAGAAGACTGATTCCTACTGTTCTGTTGCTCTGCATATCTTTGTTGATTTGGTGAAAATTTCGACCGTTTTGAAGGGTGACCGCTCAATATGATGCCGCCTAATACAGGCTCCACTGTAATTGTGTTTTTAATTTCGAATTCCCTATTTCCCCAAAGAAAAAAAAACAGAAAACCAACATATTAAATATCGACTCCACTAACAAAGGTCTTTTTCTTAGTTTCAAAAATGGAACGGGAAAACATTGAATCAGGGAGATCGGAAGGGGCTAAAAAGGAGTCCAGACGTTTCAAAGGTAATGTTAGTTGAAGGTCTTTCGAGTAGTTCGAACATTTCAGTGTATACCGCGAAATTCCTTATTTAATTTTCCATACCCAATAAATCGGCTTAATATCGCCACTAGCCTGCGTAATCGGCAATTAGATAAACATTTTGAGTGAAAGGAACGAGATAGGAATGATAAATTGAAAACGCGCCTTAAAGACTTCGTACACCAGCGAATGGAGAACATCCTAATAGACATATTCTCGTGTGTTTGATGATGAGCACATAGTAAAAATTATTGTTTCTGGTTCGGAATTCGCACTATGTACTCTGCCTAGTACACAGTGCCTTTTCCTTGTCGATCTGCATTATAACCGTTCCAAAATTTTCGAGGCGTATCAACATTAGAGCGCGAAAACGTTGAATTGAAGGAAAAAGTGAAAGCTATTCAGGGAATTTTTGAAAGTGAGAGAGGTAAAGGAAACTTTAGGAAGAACAATTGTGTATTTTAATAACTGCGAATATTTTTCTCATGTTGCTTTTTAAATCAAACCTTTCGAAAGCTTATACTTCCAGAAGGATAATTTATTAAACTGATTAGATACTCTCCGTATCATGTTATAATTCTTGTATAGTCTTGGAGATATCGATGTTAATTTGCAGAAATCAGATTAAACTTTATGATGTGTTAATCACTGTTCATAGTATAATCCTATGTTGAACTTTTACCCAGAAGTGCCCTTTTTTTTGCTCTTTACTTTTACTATTTTTACTCTTTACTTTTCCTATGTAAAACAGCTCTCGGGCCGGTGAAGAGAATTTTTAGAAGGAAGAGAGGTAAGGGAAACTTTAGGAAGAACATTTGTGCATTTTAATGACTGCGATTATTTTGCTCGTGTTGCTTTTTAGATCAAACCTTTCGAAAGCTTATATTTCTCAGAGAATAAGTTATTAAATTTATAAATATTAGTCAAAGGGGACGGGTTCTATGGCCATATAACCGTTAAGATCCCGCGGGAATCTTAAAATGCATGCATTTATCCAGCCGGCAAATTGCCATAAGCGGCATCCTTTTCTCTTTGCATATGGCTCTCTCAGAACATCAGGTAGGAAAAAGTCTCGCTATTTATCATCTTGCAATGGAAACAATTACAAAGGCTGCAAACCTTAAGAAACGCATCTTTATTTTCCGAGCTTCCAATAAAACTTTCGCGTTTCCCGTCATTTTTCAAACGAAGGCACGTGATGCTCTCGCATCATACATACATACATACATGCATACACTTCATTTAAACTCGCCGAATTATCAGAGTAGCTCTGTTAAGCTGATATCTTCAAGAAAGAAAAATATTTAAATCAATTAGATTATTAAAATACATTAATTAAAACTACCACTAAAAGTTCTTTTTCTTTATGGCTGTCTTAAAATCTTTAAATGATGTCATTTTTCTCATACTGTCTGGAAGCGAATTCCACATTTTTGCTGCTTGATATCGGATGCACTCAAGTCCGTAATTTGTTGTTCTCGGTATAGGTAAGGTCAGAACATTCTTTCCTCAAAATGAACAACTGGAGTTACAAAGAACGAATAGTTCTTTCAGATATCCAGAATACGTAGAAACAAATTAGCTCTTGGAAACTACCGTAAGAATTTTGTGAAGTCTTTCAGTGAATAGGGATGCTATCTTTGCTTTCTTTAATAGTTCATCATAACTAGTGTTAGAAGTAAATACTCTAACACTGGTTGTCTTGTTGTCTCTTTCTTTATTCTCTCTTACTACACAAGTTATTACAACAGGGACTAGCACTGATCTATCGAGGAAAGTGTTGGTCACCGCTTATAAAGGTGACACTTACTGAACTGTCAATCTCTAACCTTTGTCATGTTTTTACACTTAAATATTGCCATTGGCTGGTGCTTGTGCGGATTTACAATCATTCCATTTCGCTCATACCAACTGTCAGCAATTTCAAGCTCGTGTTCCAGTCGTGTGTTTAGTGTTTCTGGGTTCTTGTCAGACGAGTACAACTGTTGATCATCGGCGTAGGCATTCAGGTTTTCCTGCTTAATATGGTAGAATAAATCATCGATGTGAACATTGAAAATTATGGGACCAAGGACACTTCCCTGGGGGACTCCTCTTCTTACCAATTCCCATTCAGAAAACGTGTCTCCAATTTTTACGCGTTTTATTCTTGCGGAAAGGTAGCTCCTTTCAAGAGTTCAATGCTCGTTTCGCTTAGACCATAGGCCTTGAGTTTGTCCAACCAGAGAGCGTAACGTATGCTATCGAAAGCCTTTGATAAGTCTATGGAAACAATTGCTACAGTTTTTTTACTATCACGACTTCTTCTCCAGTCTTCTGTCAATAAAGATGTTCCGCAGCTGTAATTTGGTCTGTATGCAGAGATGAAACCTGATAAGACATCTTGATAAAAAGGCTCAAGTTGTTTTGCTAAGATTCGTTCAAAAATGTTATTGAGGGCCGGAAGAACAGTTATAGGTCCGTAGTTCTTTTTACAGAATTCATCATCCTTTTTAGATGAAGGGGTCACTTGTCCCATTTTGCAGTGTGAAGGATAATGACCTAGATTGATTGAGCAGCTCATTTTTTTTGCAAGAGGCTCCGATATTACAGATGCAGACTCTTTCAGTAATCGTGAAGGGTTTAGGTCATGGCCACAAGATTTACGCGTATTCATTTCCGAAAAAACTTCTCCACTTGCCTTAAGTTACTATGTTCAAAATCGAAATTTAGTATTATTTTCTAAGAATGGTTAATTAGTATAGACTGAATGATTGGATGAGTATTGAAATCAGTTCCAAAGTCCTACTCATTTATCTCTGCTGCTGCATCAGCGACATGAATAAAATAGCTGTTGAAAATATTTGCTATCTCATTTTTGTCTTTGATAAATGCCTTGTTTTCTTCCAGTGAGATGTCGTTTTCTTTCCTTGATTTCTTTGACTGAAGAAAGGGACGATAAGTGTTCTAAAATTCGTTCAGATTTTCTGTTGTGGATTCATCAAGAGAATATGCCTTGATCACTTTCCGTGTTAAGGAAGTGCACTTATTCCTTTGTTTTCGGTAGAGAGAGAGTAATTTGCATCTGCGCGATCATGGGTGAATTTTTTCTACAGCTTATTTCTGTGTCGGATGGATTTGCGCCATTGTTCTGTCATGAAAGGCACTTGATTTCCTCTCACGTGGAATTTCTTTATATTTCTACAAAAGCGAAAGCCAGTTTATGGTCTTCTGAGGAGAATTCCGACCCCACAGAAATTGCTGTCGACGCTTTGGATCGAAAACGCTCCTCCTCGGGGAATGAGAAACAAAAGGCTGTCTAGTTGTCTGCCTCGTACGCGAGCTAATTTTGTGTCGCACAATAATACAATTGCGGCCAAGAATGAGAAGAAATAGATATTTAGTGTTAACAACTAAGTTGAAAACGTAAATTAGCCACCATAAAGGGTAAAAAAGCTGACGTTTCGAGAGTTAGCCCTTCGTCAGAGCGATAATCAATTGCTCTGACGAAGGGATCGAAATAATTAATTAGCGATTTCAATAATTGTTCACTGTTATACTCCCTCACCGACGTAGCACCACAGTTTCTTTAGAAACTTACCCCCTTTACGCATACACAAATAGATAACTAGCTATAATTGAATCGGGTGACAATATTTCACAATTCACGCAGCCAACTCTCTCGTAAGCAGACAACCTTAGGAATTGGAAAAAGTGTCCTTTGGTAGAAATGTTCGCCTACGAGAATTATTCCCACAAGCGGACACCAAAGAAAAATAAGGTGGATGTATGCTTACGAGAGAGTGTTAAGTCGGACTATTGTTTATGTTAAACGAACGGACGGCTTGCATTCCCAAAAGAATGGAGATCTGATAATGCTGATCCCCACTGTTCTGTTTGCTCTGCCAAATCTTTGTTGATTTGGTGAAAATTTCGACCGTTTTGAAGGGTGACCGCTTAATATGATGCCGCCTAATACAGGCTCCACTGTAATTGTGTTTTTAATTTCAAATTCCCTATTTCCCCAAAGAAAAAAAACAGAAAACAAATATATAGAATGTTCTATATTTAATATCGACTCCACTAACAAAGGTCTTTTTTTTAGTTCCACAAATAGGACAGGAAGCCATGGTTTTGGAACAGGAACACATTGAATCAGAAGAGGCTGAAAAAGGTAATGTTAATTGAAGGTCTTTCGAGTAGTTCGAACATTTCAGTGTATACCGCGAAATTCCTTATTTAATTTTCCATACCCAATAAATCGGCTTAATATCGCCACTAGCCTGCGTAATCGGCGATTAGATAAACATTTTGAGTGAAAGGAACGAGATAGGAACTAACTGCTCCAAAATTTTCGAGTCGTAGTATGCAGAATCAATCGGACGAACAAATATGCTTTTTCGAGGGAAAAAGGTGGCCAAAATCCACTGATAATTCAAACCCACGGATCCTCTGTGTTTGTATTTAGGCTGATATTGCAAGTGTTAGCCCCCTTGCAAGAAGTATACGGTTCACTTCGACAAAAAAAAATGTTTTCAATTGTTCCTGTTTCCAGGAGACACTATTAAGCACTGCACGATCAAAAACTTTTAATACTAATGAGTTGAATGCGACCTGAACACTTCTTATTAGTTTTTAAAGTAAAATAAAAAACGATAGAAAGCGTACTTACAATATTGTTACAACATCTTGCTTCAAATATAAAATAACCTTTTTTTCGTTTTATGATTAAGCGTCTGATCATTCACAAAAATGTGAGTACGTAAGACATCATCCCGCGCTAGACAAATGTACGTATTGCGCACCTACTTTACACCTTTGGCCCATCAAGAACGCAAGATTAATTTTCAATAGGTTCAATAAATAGTTCATTAACGCCAAAGTGTGATAAAGTTAGCGAAAATAGTCGTCTTTATTTTTACATGTTCATTTAGAAAATTTACATCAAAAGAAGTATTAATTGACACCAATACCGTTGCATTTCAACGTAAACAATATTCTTTAATGTGACTAAGTGCTCATTAGCGACGTTCTATTCTTTTTCAACATCAATAAAATTTCAATTTCACTAAATTTCCCACAAGATTTCGAAGAGCCTTTATATCTGATAACGAAGCTGTTCAGATTCTTCTTGCAGAAATGGCCTTCAAAATACAGCGTCACTGTGTTCCAAACGAGCGTCGACTAAGATGGTAATTACTAAAACAAGGAATGACCTAAAATGACCTAAAACAACCTAAAATGATCCAAATGACCTGGAGTGAATTCTTAAATGACCAAAAATAACCTAAGATTACCTTAAATGATGTGAACAATGCGGCGTCGACAAAATCTGGATCGGATCGGACCGGATCAGATCGGATCGGATTGTCCATTTCGGTCTGCGGGTGCTACGTGATTTAGCATTTGGTTTTCAGTTTTCGTCAAAAATTCAAACGGGATTTCTGTCACCCCATTATTTTTCTTTTTTCTTATTATTTGAATCAATTAAGTTAATTTGTACACACATAGCATTTTTGTATTAGCTGCATTGGTTATCAAATCTTTGTTTTAATTTGTAAATAATTTGATACTTACAGAATTACTGATCAACTCGGGTCATAATACAACCTCTTCAGAAGGATCTCCCTGTCCAACTAAAGATGAGCGATGCGACCTGCATGACCCAAAGGATGTATTCCGAAAGAAGCGAATTTTAAAACGACTAATCAGCAAGGAAACACAAGGTAATATATATATATCTTTATTATAAACCACATATATATGATTATGTATAATATTTACCCCAATTTTCAAAAACAATGCAATTTGAAATAACATATGAAATATATATAGAATACCTTTTTTTCATTAAAAAAGTTGTTGACATGAATTATAGGGACAATTTTTCTAAAGGAAAGTACAATAACTGCTGTCAGAAAAACGAAAAGGTATCATTCCTTTGATGTCAAATATGCATGCAAGAGAAGGTATAAATATTTCATATAGTTTCAAATTACACAGTTTTTTGAAAATGGGTGTATATGTGTATATTTATACAGTTTCGAGAACAATGGAAAAAGAGACTTGATTGAGAAAAGATTTTATCTAGGGTAAAAATATAATTTTAAATTTGCAACATCCTTAAAACAGGTGTATATAGATACAGATATATATCTCTCTATTAATTTTTCTTTGCATTTCAAAAGTTAAAAAGAATTTGGTTGAAATTCTGGTAGTGATGTGAGCATCATTATCTAATAGTGTGATGAGGGGGATATAATATATTTCAAAAAAATAATTAATTCAGCAGATTATGTAACTTAATTATTTAACTTGATGTTTCTCGGTTGATTTCTTCCACGTTGCATATAAGGTAGGCCTAGGTCACACTCTCAAAGAAAAATTCCATGCACCCAGTTAAGTTATAACAATGTTAAATCATTAATTATTTTAACTGCCCTACAAATTTAAGATGTTGGTGTAGCAATGCGTAGGAGATCAAGTCTTGTGAGGAAATTGTCTAAACATCGTTATCAGCCATCATCAGGAGAGGTATTTATGATAAAATTTTGCTTGATGTACTTCTACTTATGTGACCGCTATTGATGACATCATATATGTTTTATCTCTTTCAGGATTCGGATGAGCAAGATGGTTGGTATTTTATGTTCTTGCATAATTAATTTGTTAACAGTATGAGGGATTAAAAATTTTTGTTGATATGTAAGCAAACACAAATAAGGGCATAGAACGAGAACAGTATCTTTTACAAAATGTGGAATTAACTTTTCCTTGCAGTTTCATTTTATAATTCAAGATGCCTCCTAGAAAATTTAAAATAGCTAATGAGAAAAGACAAATTTGATGGCTAGACTTTGTATTTCTTGATAAAGCATTAGAAAAATATAACAGATTCACTAGGAGTGGTAGGTTACAGTAAAGAAAGAGAATTACCGATAGGACGTACTTATTGCAGTTAATTAAATTAAAGGAATTAGATAGTCTTGGGACACAGAAGTCTGCCTCAAATAATTTAAGTTGTGCCTTTGGTAAGATTTGGTTATTTTAGATTTATTTCATAAACAGCTCAGTTAAAGTCTGCACAGCAGGTAGCCTTGTGTATTATGAGGATTGAAAGTTACTCTGCAGTCAAAATCTCAATTGCATGCTTTTATTTGAACAGAGATTGTGCAAGAGGGAGTAAGAAGGTCCAGCCTGCCTACCATAAGATTCAAGGCATCAAAAAGGAAATCATCCGGTGCTGGCACCCCTAACAAGGAAGACTTTCAGGTGGGTGAAATAATAGATAAAATTTTTAGTTTTTAATGCTATGATAATTAAGATACAATAATTACCTTTTGGATAGTATAAAAGATGACTTGAGGGGTCAACAGATTTAATTAAGGTTGGTTATACATGCTTATCATGAACAGTTTCCATGGTAACACTGTTCATTACAGTGTGTAATTTTCAGGTAGATGAGTAAATTTGTTGATCTACTTTACAGTGATAAGTCAATAAATCATTTATTAGTTCTTATTCATAATTAATAATATTGCTGATGACTCATGAATCAATCAATTAATTGTTCAGACAAAAGTCAGCTTTAGAAACTCTTTATGGTGGCTACTTTACTTTATGAACGCAGTTGATAAAACCAAATTATTTTGTCTAGTACATTGTATGGTTATTTGATAAGTACATAATCTCCTTAATCATGTCACACCCAGTCCATATATTAGTTGGACTTAATCACATGACAAAGAAAATCTTGTTGTATTCTACACTGTAAATTGGCCACCTAAAGAGTTTAAAGGCTGATGTTTCAAGCATTAGCCTTTTGTCAGAGCGGAGGGCTGATACTCAAAACATCAGGTATGAACTCAACAGTGGCCAATTTACATTATCAACTCAGTTGATAATACTTAATTACCCTGTTATACTCTTCCACCAATGCAGCATCATACTTTCTTTAGAAACTTACCTCCTTTATTCATTTATATTCTTCTTTGTATGAGGTATGTTGTAAAAATATCATGGTTGTACATCTTTGATAAAGTTTTGTCAATGACTTCCATTTTGGCCACATTACAATCACAAGCTTACAATTTTATTTTTCCAGCATAATCTTATTTTCCATCAATGGTTTTTTATAAAGTTTAGAGAGCTAAGAGCTCTCTTTAATGAGTGCATCTTAAATCAGTAGTGCATACTTCTTCCTGCAATATCAAACTGTTATACCCGGTATAAATGGAAATCAACTTTTTTCACATTGATTGTGATTGAATTTTTTTAGGATCCAAAAGAAGATGATGATACTAAAAGTAAGAAACTTTTGAATTCTGGTATTTTTAAATTATGTGTATTATAACCTTTTAAAGGTCTCTTCCCTACCCTCCCACACAGAACTAAGTTGCTGGGAGACCTTTCAATGCTTTGCATTTAACCCTTTAACTCCCAGATCAAATTTGTAATTCTCCTTACTGTCAACCATACAATTCTTGTAATGTTAGTTCAGAGAATTTAGTATTGGATCAACTTATTATCCCCAAATTGATATTATCTTTATTCTCATCCCTTATCTGGTTGATATTGTATTTATATCATAAGGAGAAATTCTGTCTTGATCACTCATGGGAGTTAAAGGGTTAATAGATAATGAATAAATTACTTTTTTTTTAAGTTGCAGCAAAACCTTTCAAAGTTGAGGTGCAACCCAGACATCAACAACAGAAAGAAGGTTCACGAGTGGAATTTAAATGCAACATCTCTGGAGAGACAGAAGCACGTTATCAATGGCTCAAAGATGACTCCAAGATTCAAGGTCAAAGAAACTCTTCCCTTGTTTTGGATCCAGTTAAGGTGAAAGACTTTGGCAATTACAAGTGTGAAGTGAAATATTATGATGGTGACAGTGAGAAGTGTGTGACATCTCTCCCTGCAGAACTAGACGTCATCCCCAGTGATGGAATGAGTGAGTGTCAATTATTTGCTAATTACCATCTATTTTGGGTACTACATGTACTGTTAATATAAGCCACACACAATTTCTTACTAAGGCCCCCAGAAGGAGACAATTTGCACCCCACAGGAAGCAGTGAGGTGGCTGTGAATGTGTGATTTTCAAATCATTTATGCATTTGGGAGCTCAATGCTACTCACCTTCCATAATGATAAATAACTGAGCTATAGAAGACAAATATGTTCATTCGTGACTGAAGTTAAGGTAAACACTTCTAGTCAGCGACACAACTTCATTGACAGCTCAACAAGTAATTACCACAACTGCTGTTTACGAGCTTCGTTTATATAAAAATGCCCAACATTTCTCATCTGACTCTCTGCCGTCGCTGCCAAATAAAAAGTAGGAAACAATAACGACCCACTGATTTCAGCGTATTTTCCAAGATGGAGAACCAATCATTCCCCAGCTCTCTCCATTAACGCTTACTTCCTGGGGAAATGCCTCGCAGTTTAATTCCCCGTTTCCCCGTGAAATCACGTTGTTAATTTGGGAGCCTAAGCACAAACGTTTTGGAGAGGCCGACGACAGCTGGTAGTTCAATACTGAAACGACGACCTCACGGTCGATGCATTGGCGTCAAAGTGCGCCAGAATTAGTTTTATTCCTCAAAAAACGTATCTGCTTTATTTCTCTGCTAATTTTTGAGTGAAACCTTGGCATGACGCAGTTATTTCCCCGCCCTGCCCGGGGGGTTTGTTAAGGGGTCTTCAATTGAAAAGTGCATTACAAAGTAAATAACTGAACATTCTGGAATATTCTGGGGTATTCTAAAACATTAGTCAACAATGTTTGGTCCAATAGTGTATTTTAATTACGTAACTGCTATCGGCTTATTGACCCATTTCCTTTATTTGAGGAGGAGCACTCAGGAGTGTGTTATATTTGTCAACTAATTGAGATTCTGCCATATTTCTTCACAATAAGTGTCGCCATGTAATTTAAGTTATTTGAGGAAACATTGCCATTCTCCTTATTTTTCTTGACTTTTAGAGCTCAAATGTCTCACAAATGTAGATCCCAATATTCAAGAGAAGGTTGGACACCTTCTGACCAAGAAAAAACCGGGAACTCGGACCTGGAAACAACTCGCTATCAAGTATGCTATGGAGGATCATCTTATAGTTTCTCTTGAAAACAACCAAGAGACAGCCGGAAGAGAAGTAATCGAGTTCCTAGCAAAGTCATACCCGAAACTTACAGTGTATGAGGTTTGCAAGGAACTTAAAGACAAAAACATACGGCGTTTGGACATTATTGAAGTATTGTCAGCTCATCTTTCGGCTCCAATTTTGGGCGGTGAGGTGCGTCTATAGAGTTTTTTTTACGTGATATCGTTTTAAATGTAATGTTTAAAAAATGGGTCAGTTGTTGATAGAAGTTTTTAGGTCGCGATCAATGATGGTCTCTAGGAGAGTTAGTGACGCTTTTGAATGCAGTGATACAGTGCATCACATCGACAATTTCAGGGTCTGTGTGACTTATAGATCTTGATCCATAAGCAATAATTTAGCATCAAGGGAGGTTGTATAATTTGAAATGTTTCCTTGAGTAGTTTATTTTTATGGGACCTTGTCAACTGGAAAAGATGTTGACTAAAATTCTTATAGTCCTTTATAGACAAGTAGATAATTTGGAAACGGCTAGATAACAAGTGTGTTATAGTCAACGGACTGCATTGATAGGGAAAATATGGATTACTGTCTCAATTTTTTTCTATATTTTTTGTATTTATAGAGTTTTCAAGTTTTAGCGATTTAGTTATTGTTTACTAAGTAAACCATATTCAGGAAAACTTTCTTATAAGAGATTTCCATCCATACTTGATAACATGTATTTCAGATTTCAAAGGTGAACAGATGAAAGTATTATATATGCACAATTACGAGATAAGATAAGATACTGAAGATAAGATACTTTATTAACCACCATTGCAGCCATAGGCTGAATTACAGGATATTTACAAATACTGATGATAACAAAAGAGAGAATAAGAGAAATTATCTACATCTTATAGACATGGCTAAAAATAAAACTGTTCTTTAAACGCTCGGTTTTACATAGGGGGAGAGTGAAATCACTTTTGCGTCTCAGTGCATATTTACAACTCTTCCTTTGGGGGAGGAGGCTATGGAGATTGTGGGTGGGGTTACAGAAGATCTCGTCAAACAGATCGATTGAAATCTTTTCTCTTCTCTCATGAAGTTTTGGTAAGCCAACTGTTTCTAGTGCTACACTATATGAAAGGTCAGGATAGATGATTCTGAATGCCCTTCTTTGGATCCGTTCCAAATCTTCACTGATGTAGTTTGGTAGAGAACGATGGAATACAGGACTTGCGTATTCCAGGACGGGTCTAATACATGTCACATAGAATTGCACCAGTTCACTTGGTGCCACTCCAGATCTCTTGAGTTGACGTAAAAAGTAGAGACGAGAGGAACATTTTCTAATTAGTTAAGAGGTGTGCATGTTCCACTTTAAATCATAGCTAATGGTCACGCCTAGCAATTTGGCACTGGTGACTAATTCGAGGGGTTTGATATTTAGAACTAGGGGTTCGAAATCGTGGTTGCTGTTGGAAAAACCAATTCGAAGTTCTTTGCACTTGGCCTCATTCAGTTGGAACCCATCGAGACTCGCTTGTCTCGAAAGGTCATCCACAGCTTCTTGGAGTTTGCTCTTATTACCCTTTGTAACTATTTCGGAACAAGATGTATCATCCACGTATTTCCACATGTCAACTGGTGTGTCCAAGTCATTAATCATGACAAGAAATAACCAGGGGGCCCAGTTTTGTTCCCTGGGGGACACCGGATGGCACAGAGCGCCATTCAGAGTGACAATCCTGAGCAAGTTTAACTCTTTGTTTATTCTAATTTTTCGTAGGATTGTCGTACTATTTACTCAACACATACTCTTTGTTTAACCAAATCAAGCAATAAAAGTGCTGCTATTTTTCTGTATCATGTGTCTGTTTTTGCAATAAAACAAGACAAACATTAAACTGTAGGGGCTGCACATTCAACGAATTATTCTTTGAGCGAGCGTGGAATGATAGAATGCAAGGTGAAAGACAAAACACAACCTTAATCAGTTGTCTTGACTAGGTTGAGGAAAATTAGGGTTGGCTCTATCGAGTTGACTTCATGGGTGTCACAACATGCCTTGACAGGACGTTAACAACATCCATCCGTCTGAGTCCAGACTCCTTAAAGGTCTTACAGATGAAATAAACAGTGATATTAGGCGAAAGGGAGGCCAGACTCTCCAACATAGCTCCTGCTGGGTCTTTTGCGCTTTCTAAAAAGGAGATTTCCTTTTCTATCATTCCATACCTTCGTGGCTCTTGCTTCCATGACGCCAGGCCAGGAAGGCGCTTCTTGTTGAGCAGGTCAATGATCGCTTGTCTCGTCTCGAAGTCTATTTCGTGTAAATCTCTAAACCCTATGTAAAGATCAAAATAAAAATTAGAGGTTAGAAGTGAGTTTATGTGGAGAGATTTAAATGGTTGACATAATGCAAATTTATTCATTCATTTTGGGATAACTTCTTCATCCATTCGGTTATTCATGAATTAACACACAGAATTAGGGATAATTTGAATCCTCGTCTTTCGAATGCCATTTTGATTGCCTTGTTTACATGAAGTCGGGTTCGAATTCCTGTTTGGTTGTCACAAAAAGCCTGAAAAACTTTGTTTGCACAAAATAAAAAATTGACAAATGCTTCAGTATAAAAATGGTTTTTTGCTGGTATGACGAGGCGTTTCGTCCGCACAAAGTCCCTTTCGCAAAGTTGAAGACGTCAGCGTTCTGACCCTCAGTCACAAATAGTTTCTCAACTGAACTTTTACGAGTGAAATTTGTGTAACGAAGGAAAGCCTTCCTTAATCCTTGCCCTTTTCAGAGGATTTATCTTTATGATGTTCTCTTACTCCTTTTTCCATTTTTCTTTTCCTCTTTCAATGAAAAAACAACAAAAGAATAAACTTGCTTATTCCTGGAGCAGGGAATACATCGACTTCAGAAATATATGAAGTAACAGATCCACTCTTATCCCACACACGACATAAATAACGTCTAAAGTCCTCCATCTTAACTGAGCTCAGCACCAGGTCCGAACGATTGGCTCCAGGGATTTCAATGTCGTCCTTAACCTACCGGTATCGTATATACGATAGACCCCGGGTTCGACAACTCAACACTAAAGGTTTTCCTTGCTGCACGGCTTGAGATTGAGGCATCTGAATAATCGCTAAACCTGCATCAATAGAAAAAAAATCAGCAGAAAGTTACCTCACTGATTCACTGATAAGTGCAATGTATTTCAAAAATAGGTGCTTATATTCCAAAACTTTTAAATGTTTTACGTAGATATATTTTAGTGTCGCCTGACTGAGATTGAAAGTGTTTTTAAAGCACTTGATATATACGAAACGTTTTCTTGCTGATAAAACTAGTTCAAAATATAATCATGAACCTCAGTGCCAAGGTGAAAGGATTCACCGTTTAACAAAAAAGAAAAAATCTCTATAGGGGAAATTATAACAGTTATTACAGGAAGATTTACACAGAATATTTACACTGATATTTACCAAAAGACAACATCTACTGTATTGCTATTATAATTATCATAAGAATCGTGCACATTGCGAATCTTTAGCGACTCGTCGAAAATTTGAATGGTAAATCAGAGATATTTGTTCGAAATATTACACTTACACATTTATATATATATATATATATATATATATATATATTGTGGGAAGGAATAACACAAATAATAAGAATAATCTTTGCCATCACTTATATACAATATAATTTCCAGTTTCTTCGCATTTTTATGAATCCCAGTTAGTCACGGTCCGGCTGCATACAATCTATAACGGTAAGATACAAGAATATAAATTCTGAGTCAATAACAGTGATGATAATGACAATAGCACTAACAGGAACAACAACAGCAACAACAAAAATAAAAGAGTTTGTCGTCATGGATCCTGAGAAGTAATTTATTTGCATAATTAGTTCTTGTTTGAATGTGTTGACTGTATGTAATCTAAAACCCCAAGAACTTTTAAGGGGGTGGCCTACGATACTTTGCATTGGAAAAGTGATTTTTAAAATCATTGTTGCTTTAAAAAATTGGCTGGCGCCAGAGAGAAAAAGCGTATTAATTTTGCAAATTGTGTAGATCCCTTGTCCAGTACTACCCCTCCCACTATAGGGCATCAACTTATTATTCAAAGCTCAAATTACCCAAGTTGCTTGACCCACGCTCGAGCCTCTGTAATTCTTCGAGTGCTGATTACGCTTCCTTACAATAACCGTGGTGTGCCTACCACCAGGCCTAAGTCTGTCAGAGTTGACGTTATAATTCTGAACGCGAGCTACGCGGTAAGCTGGCTGAGGAAATCATTTGGATAGAGAAAGAACGCGGAGATGAGAGAGAGGTTAGTGACCTAACTCGGCGGCGAAAACTACATAGTCGCTAAGGTGCGGAAACAGGAGAATCAGGCCAAAAGAAATGCTCAAAGGCCAATTATTAATGTAATTGATCTCTCGAAAAGCTGACGAAAGTTTCTGAAGTCATTACGAAACAGGACAGCGCAAAAGTACAATTTGAATTTGTATCTTGGATAGAGCTATCGAGTTCAATTTTGTTCATCCGGAACTACTTTTTAAATCTTAATCTACTCACCGCTCTAAGAAAGATCAAAACCACTCGTTTGGTCATTAATTCTACTTTAAGGCAGTCGAATTTCTTTCATTTCAACCAAGAAATTTAAACGTTCTTCTCAGAGTCCTTTAAATGATTGCGTGACACCGGAATTAACTTGTCACAGTATGTAAACATCGAAATTTTTCAGGGATGGGTTGTTTCAAAGTTGCCTCCATTGAGAAAAGCGCGAAAGCTGAACTGGGTAACGTCTAAAATGTATGCAAATTCTGTAGAATTGAATCCAAGTGAAAAATCGCTGAACGAACAGGACCAAGCAGTCTCTATAAGTATAAGATGGACGGAGTAATCGCCAACGCAGCTGTGGAAACAGCGACAAGGGCCGCAATGGATTTGTCTCTGTCAGGAGCAGGATTTTCTATTTCACTCAAGATTGACAACCCCTGGTTAGCGGGAGCTGTAAGTCTTGGTGCATTATCGTTAGGTGCTTTCTACCTCGTCTGTAAGGGGCCCGCGGAGGGTGCCATAAAAAGAGCCTTAGAAAGGACTCTATTCGGCGATGTGGATCCTGAAGTTACCAATATCACAGATGGACATTCCATCTTGGTGGAATTGCAATGTCACTCAGAGATGAGTCTGTTGTTATTTCTGGAAGACTATGAGTCGAAAACAATCAAGTTTAGATTGGAAAAGGAGTTCAAAAAAATTGGATTTAATGATCAATTAGAAGTCGTTATTCAGAATGAAGAATTGGTGAACAAGGAAGCAACAGAGATAAGGTAAGGATTTAACACTTTGACTTCCTATAGTGATCAGAAAGTACTTTCTCTTTGCAATGTGAACACACTTTAAAGCAAACAGGTGGTGGGAATAAAGAAACATCAACCGAGGAATATTATTCGATTTCACACCAAATTCTTAGAACTAACTCTAAGAAATGTGTGGTTGATAGATTGTAAGGAGAATTTCTGTCAAGATCAAAGAAGTGATCGGCATGAAAAAGTAGATGGGTGGACGCTATGCGGTTTAAGTTCAGGGAAAAATTGTTTTGTTGTGAAGTTGGATCCTCATTTCCGCTTGCAAAATGACCAAAATTAAACAAAGATTCAATTTAAAAATTTTACATTGAGGTTACGTAACCGTGCGGATGGTTTTCGTCAGAGATTAGCTTTCACAATTGATTTCTGGCGCAAGAAACTAACGAGCAAATAAAGAATTAACAATCAAGTGAATGATGAATTAATGGATAGATTAATACATGCAGCCATGAATGATTGATAACTGAATATGTTTTCTGCAGAGAGAGACATGCCACCCAGAGAAAAACGCTCTCATTAGAAAACTGGCATGAAAGGTATGAAGAACTCGCAGACATGATCAACAAACTCTTTGAAATGCAAGTGCATGCTTCCCAGCAAACTGGAAGGCCCGAGAATCCGAGAACTAGAGAACCTTTACATCAGTTACAAGAGCTGGAGAAGGTCTTGAAGGGATCAACAAGAGCAAACGACTTACACGAAAGTGATAGTGATGGATTCCAGAAATCTAACGTTATATTGGAGGAGCTGAGCAGTGTTAAGGAAACATTAAAACGAGAAATGACAATCTCCAAGGGCTTGCGAAGAACCATTGAAAAGCTTCAAGAAGAAAACAGGCGACTGGGAAAAAGTTCAGAGCCCGCAAATGTTCATGGAACAAATGATGGGAAAGATGAAAGTCTCCAGTTAAAGAGTTTGACCAGGGAAAAGACCGATGAGATTAAAGCATTAGAGAGTTATCTCCTGGAGCTGCGTGAAAAAGTGCATGAGCTGGAGAAAGAAAACGAATCGTTGCAGCAAAAGTTGAAGAAAAAGGAGAAGGAACTTGGGCGATTTCAAGGAGACGTGACAGGTTGATGATAAAAAGATTGATAATAATTAATTTTTAGTTTTAAGTAAATCATTCCTTGAGGTGTAAACTGAATTAATTATGTGAGTAGCAAAAAACTCAAACACTAGCCAGTTATTCCTTGTACTTTCCCTTTGGGCAGAGCCTTAGACAAATCCTTGGGGTATTCACAGAGCCGCGCAAGCAAGACGAGGTTGTGGCCTCTCCTTTGAGACAGAAATTTCATGCATAAAAGTCTGGTAACTCTCTTACAGAAAGAGAAATTAAACCGTTAAAGCGACAATATTTAGTTTTGGTTCATATATTGTAGACTTATATTAAGGTTATCAATCATCAAGCAGAAAAAATCAAACGTTACGTTACGAAAAAGTTTAATCGTTTCTTTTCGTTAGATGCTCTCGTTTCCTTTCAGAAACAAAAACCACTGCACTGAAATGAATAGAGTTATTGATTCACTGTTTTGCCTTGCTTCTTCATTCAGATGACGTCGAACCTCCATCTCGACCCAGGACCTCTTCGGGTATATCTTTGGGAGCGAGCTCTGGTTACCAGTCTGAGGAAGAGCCTGACGAATCAAGTAAGTCCTGGATTTTTGGTGTTAGTTAGTAATGTGCACGATTCTTGTGAAAATTATAATAGCAATACAATAAATGTTATATTTTAGTTAATATCAGTGTAAATATTCTGAGTAAATCTTCCTATAATAACTGTTAAACTTACCCCATAGAGATATTTTCTTTTTAGTGAAACGCTGAATCCTTTCACCTTGGCACTGAGGTTAATGATTGTATTTTGAACTAGCTTTATCAGCAAGAAAAAGTTTTGTATACATCAACTGCTTTAAAAACACTTTCAATCTCAGTCAGACGACACTTAAATATATCTATGTAATGTTTTGGAATATCAAGCATCTATTTTTAAAATACATTGCACTGATCAGTGAATCAGTGAGGTAACTTTCTGCTGATTTTTTTTTCTATTGATCCAGGTTTAGAGATTATTCAAATGCCTCAATCTCAAGCCGTGCAGGAAGGGAAAACATTAGTGCTGAGTTGTCGAACCCGGGGTCTACCGGATATTCGTTACCGTTGGGTTAAGGACGACATTGAAATCCCTGGGGCCAATCGTTCGGACCTGGTGCTGAGCTCAGTTAGGATGGAGGACTTTGGACGTTACTTTTGTCGTGTGTGGGATAAGAGTGGATCTGTTACTTCAGATATCGCTGAAGTCGATGTATTCCCTGCTCCTGGAATGAGTAAGTACTTTTTCCTGTTGTTTTTTCGTTGAAACAGAAAACAGAAAAAGGGAAAAAAAGGAGTTAGAGAACATTTACAAGATAAATCCTCTGAAAAGGGCAGAGATTAAGGAAGGCTTGCATTTGCTACACGAATGTTACTCGTGAATGTTCAGTTGAGCACTGTTTGTGACTGAGGGTCAGAATGCTGACGCCTTCAACTTTGCGAAAGGGACTTTGAGCGGACGAAACGCCTCGTCATACCAAACAAACCATTTTCATACTGAAGCATTTGTCAATTTTGTATTTTGTGCAAACATAGTTTTTCAGGCTTTTTAATGACAACCAAACAAGAATTCGAACCGACTTCATGTAAACAAGGCAATCAAAATGGCATTCGAAAGACGAGGATTCAAATTATCCCTAATTCTTTGTGTTAATTCATGAATAACCGAATGGATGAACAAGTTATCCCAAAATTGCATTATATCAGACATTTAAATCTCCCTACATAAACTCACCTCTAACCACTCATTTTATTTTGATCTTTATATAGGATTTAGAAGTTTACATGAGATAAACATGGAGACAAAACAAGCCATCATTGACCTGCTTAACAAGAAGCGCCTTCCTGGCCTGGCGTCATGGAAGCAAGTGGCACGAAGGTATGGAATGAGAGAAAAGGAAATCTCCTTTTTAGAAAGCGCAAAAAACCCAGCAGGAGCTATGTTGGAGAGTCTGGCCTCCCTTTCGCCTAATATCTCTGTTTATTTCATCTGTAAGACCTTTAAGGAGTCTGGACTCAGACGGATGGATGTTGTTAACGTCTTGTCGAGGCATGTTGTGACGCCCACGAAGTCAACTCGATAGAGCTAACCCTAATTTTCCTCAACCTAGTCAAGACAACTGATTAAGGTTGTGTTTTGTCTTTCACCTTGCATTCTATCATTCCACGCTCGTTCAAAGAATAATTCGTTGAATGTGCAGCCCCTCCAGTTTAATGTTTTCCTAATTTAATTGTAAAGGCAGACACACGATACAGAAAAATAGCAGCAATTTTATTGCCTGATTTGGTTAAACAAAGAGTATGTGTTGAGTAAATAGTACGATAGTCCTACGAAAAATTAGAATAAATATAACAAAAAGATTCGCCTATCAATAGTGATACTGAAGCTCAAAAGGCACTGGGAACGATCATGGATAGTACCATTAGCGGCCTCTGTCCCAAACCCCTTGCTGTCATGCGAACCGAAGGTCATGAAGGTGAATCTCCATGCATTCGAATGATTGCAGTTTATATTCGATAAATAATTGTAATAAAGAAAAAATCTACATCAGCTTCAAAAGTTTTTGACAATAATTCTGTATGTTCACTTCTTAAATAATTGCTATTTCAAAAAGTAGATCATGTGTGCCTATTTGTCAATTTATGTCAAAGTTTCTAACATTATTAAATAAATCCGGATAACACTATGTAAGTTTATGGCTGAACTTGACGCAACAACGTCACACAACGTCACACGTTAATGACCACTAAGTTGCAAGGGTAATCTACAGAAATTCCGAAATTCCGCAGTTGGATCTTAAAAATTGCCCGCAATAATACTACCACAACCAGCTTATGTAAAATGCAACTTACATCAAAATTCAGGAACATTTTTATGATAGCTGAAGACAACATGTACGCGTGCTTTCATAGCAAGCTTATACAAATGTGCTTGGATACAAAAATCAGTCGTAATTGTGCATGTATAATACTTTCATAATATCTGTTCATCTATGAAATCTGAAATACACGTTATCAAGTATGGACGGAAATCTCTTATAAGAAAGTTTTCCTGAATATGGTTTACTCAGTAAACATTGACTAAATCGCTAAAACTTGAAAACTCTATAAATACAAAAAATATAGAAAAAAATTGAGACAGTAATCCATATTTTCCCTATCAATGCAGTCCGTTGACTCTAACACACTTGTTATGTAACCGTTTCCAAATTATCTACTTGTCTATAAAGGACTATAAGAATTTTAGTCAACATCTTTTCCAGTTGACAAGGTCCCATAAAAATAAACTACTCAAGGAAACATTTCAAATTATACAACCTCCCTTGATACTAAATTATTGCTTATGGATCAAGATCTATAAGTCACACATACTCTGAAATTGTCGATGTGATGCACTGCATCACTGCATTCAAAAGCGTCACTAACTCTCCAAGAGACCATAATTGATCGCGACCTAAGAACTTCCATCAACAGCTGACCATTTTTTTAAACATTACATTTAAAACAATATCACGTAAAAAACACTCTATAGACGTACGTCACCGCCTGAAATTGGAGCCGAAAGATGAGCTAGCAATACTTCAACAATGTCCAAACGTCGTATGTCTTTTTCTTTAAGTTCCTTGCAAACCTCATACACTGTAAGTTTCGGGTATGACTTTGCTAGGAACTCGATTACTTCTCTTCCGGCTGTCTCTTGACTGTTTTCAAGAGAAACTATAAGATGATCCTCCATAGCATACTTGATAGCGAGTTGTTTCCAGGTCCGAATTCCCGGTTTTTTCTTGGTCAGAAGGTTTCCAACCTTCTCTTGAATATTGGAATCTACATTTGTGAGACATTTGAGCTCTAAAAGTAAAGAAAAATAAGGAGAATGGCAATGTTTACTCACATAACTTAAATTACATGGCGACGCTTATTGTGAAGAAATATGGCAGAATCTCAATTAGTTGACAAATATAACAAACTCCTGAGTGCTCCTCCTCAAATAAAGGAAATGGGTCAATAAGCCGATGGCAGTTACGTAAGTAAAATACACTATTGGACCAAACATTGTTGACTAATGTTCTAGAATACCCCAGAATATTCCAGAATGTTCAGTTATTTACTTGGTAATGCACTTTTCGATTGAAGCCCCCTCAACCAACCTCCCGGGCAGGGCGGAGAAATAACCGCGTCATGCCAAGGTTTCACTCAAAAATTAGTAGAGAAATAAAGCAGATACGTTTTTTGAGGAATAAAACTAATTCTGGCGCACTTTGACGCCAATGCATCGACCGTGAGGTCGTCGTTTCAGTATTGAACTTCTAGCTGTCGTCGGCCTCTCCAAAACGTTTGTGCTTAGGCTCCCAAATTAACAACGTGATTTCACGGGGAAACGGGGAATTAAACTGCGAGGCATTTCCCCAGGAAGTAAGCGTTAATGGAGAGAGCTGAGGAATGATTGGTTCTCCATCTTGGAAAATACGCTGAAATCAGTGGGTCGTTATTGTTTCCTGCTTTTTATTTGGCAGCGACGGCAGAGAGTAAGATGAGAAATGTTGGGCATTTTTATATAAACGAAGCTCGTAAACAGCAGTTGTGGTAATTACTTTTTGAGCTGTCAATGAAGTTGTGTCACTGACTAGAAGTGTTTACCTTAACTTCAGTCACGAATGAACATACTTGCCTTCTATAGCTCAGTTATTTATCATTATGGAAGGTGAATAGCATTAAGCTCCCAAATGCATAAATGATTTGAAAATCATACATTCACAGCCACCTCACTGCTTCCTGTGGGGTGCAAATTGTCTCCTTCTGGGGGCCTTAGTAAGAAATTGTGTGTGGCTTATATTAACAGTACATGTAGGTACCCAAAATAAATGGTAATTGGCAAATAATTGACACTCACTCATTCCATCACTGGGGATGACGTCTAGTTCTGCAGGGAGAGATGTCACACACTTCTCACTGTCACCATCATCATACTTCACTTCACACTTGTAATTGCCAAAGTCTTCCACCTTAACTGGATCCAAAACAAGGGAAGAGTTTCTTTGACCTTGAATCTTGGAGTCATCTTTGAACCACTGATAACGTACTTCTGTCTCTCCAGAGATGTTGCATTCAAATTTCACTCGTGAACCTTCTTTCTGTTCTTGATGTCTGGGTTGCACAACAACCTTGAAAGGTTTTGCTACAACTAAAAAAGTAATTTATTCATTATCTAATAACCCTTTAACTCCCATGAGTGACCAAGACAGAATTTTTCCTTATGATATAAATACAATATCAATACAATATCAACCAGATAAGGGATGAGAATAAAGAAAAATATCAATTTGGGGATAATAAGTTGATCCAATACTAAATTCTCTGAACTAACATTACAAGAATTGTATGGTTGAAAGTAAGGAGAATTACAAATTTGATCTGAGAGTTAAAGGGTTAAATGCAAAGCACTGAAAGGTCTCCCAGCAACTTAGTTCTGTGGGGGTGGGTAGGGAAGAGACCTTTAAAAGGTTATAATACACATAATTTAAAAAATACCAGAATTCAAAAGTTTCTTACTTTTAGTATCATCATCCTCTTTTGGATCCTAAAAAAATTCAATCACAATCAATGTGAAAAAAAGTTGATTTCCATTCATAATGGGTATAACAGTTTGATATTGCAGGAAGAAGTATGCACTATACTGATTTAAGATGCACTCATTAAAGAGAGCTCTTGGCTCTCTAAACTTTATAACAAAAATCATTGGTGGAAAATAAGAGTATACTGGAAAAATAAAATTGTAAGCTTGTGATTGTAATGTGGCCAAAATGGAAGTCATTGACAAAACTTTATCAAAGATGTACAACTATGATATTTCTACAACATACCTCAAACAAAGAAGAATATAAATGAATAAAGGAGGTAAGTTTCTAAAGAAAGTATGATGCTGCATTGGTGGAAGAGTATAACAGGGTAATTAAGTATTATCAACTGAGTTGATAATGTAAATTGGCCACTGTTGAGTTCATAGCTGATGTTTTGAGTATCAGCCCTCTGCTCTGACAAAAGGCTAATGCTTGAAACATCAGCCTTTAAACTCTTTAGGTGGCCAATTTACAGTGTAGAATACAACAAGATTTTCTTTGTCATGTGATTAAGTCCAACTAATATATGGACTGGGTGTGACATGATTAAGGAGATTATGTACTTATCAAATAACCATACAATGTACTAGACAAAATAATTTGGTTTTATCAACTGCGTTCATAAAGTAAAGTAGCCACCATAAAGAGTTTCTAAAGCTGACTTTTGTCTGAACAATTAATTGATTGATTTATGAGTCATCAGCAATATTATTAATTATGAATAAGAACTAATAAACAATTTATTGACTTATCACTGTAAAGTAGATCAACAAATTTACTCATCTACCTGAAAATTACACACTGTAATGAACAGTGTTACCATGGATACTGTTCATGCTAAGCATGTATAACCAACCTTAATTTTAAAAATCTGTTTACCCCTCAAGTCATCTTTTATACTATTCAAAAGGTAATTATTATATGTTAGTTATCATAGCATTAAAAACTAAAAATTTTATCTATTATTTCACCCACCTGAAAGTCTTCCTTGTTAGGGGTGCCAGCACCGGATGATTTCCTTTTTGATGCCTTGAATCTTATGGTAGGCACGCTGGACCCTCTTACTCCCTCTTGCACAATCTCTGTTCAAATAAAAGCATGCAATTGAGATTTTGACTGCAGAGTAACTTTCAATCCTCATAATACACAAGGCTACCTGCTGTGCAGACTTTAACTGAGCTGTTTATGAAATAAATCTAAAATAAACAAATCTTACCAAAGGCACAACTTAAATTATTTGAGGCAGACTTCTATGTCTCAAGACTATCTGATTCCTTTAATTTAATAAACTTGTAAAGTACATCATATCAATAATTCTCTTTCTTTACTACAACCTCCCACTTTTCTAGTGATCCCGTTTTTTTTCTATTGCTTTATCAAGGAAATACAAAGTCCAGCCATCAAATTTGTCTTTTCTTATGAGCTATTTTAAATTTTCTAGGTATCACCTTGAACTATAAAATGAAACTGCATGGAAAAGGTATATTCCACATTTTTTAAATGAGACTGTTCTCATTCTTTGCCCTTAATTGTGTTTGCTTATATTTTATCAACAAAAATTATTTAATCCCACATACTGCCAACCAAAATTAATTATGCAGGAACATAAAATACCAACCATCTTGCTCATCTGAATCCTGAAAGAGATAAAACATATATGATATCTCATGAAAGCTCATATTAAATATATGTGTATATACTAACAGCATTTATGAAATGAATACCAATAATTTGAACACTGCATCTGAGAGTGAGTGGTGCATCAGATTTCTCCTTAGAGTAATACTGCTATTAATCATTCATCAAGATCATGAGAATAACAGAAATGATTGACGCCTGAAGAAAATTTTGATTGTTTAAACAAATTCTCCTTGTCAGCACCAATTGATTTGTACGGAGATGAGTGTAGAGAATATGGATACTGAGGTTAGGGTGTAAAGAGTTAATTTGATTGGTTCTCTTTTTCACACTTAAAGTGATTATCTGATCTATTTACTGCTAGGAAATCTAGTGTTTTGTTTTGGAATGAAATTGCATCAAGTGTTCAGTAAAAAGCAGTGTTATTACTGACATTAGATGAATGATAAAAAAATACTTGTATTGATGTAAGTAAAGTCTTAAGGTTATTAATTTATAAGTCACATGAAACTTAATACAAATTGCAGACAGTGATCTTATAGAAGTGGACGTACATCAAGCAAAGTTTGTCATAAATACCTCTCCTAATAATGGCTGATAATGACCTTTGGACAGTTTCCTTACAAGACTTGATTTCCTAGGCACTGCTACACCAACATCTTAAATTTTTAGGGCAGTTAAAATAATTAATGATTTCACATTGTTTATAATAGTATAATGATGTAATGCAAAATACAGTTTTGACTGAAGTAAACCTATTATAGGTGAGTTATTAACAAACCCTCCAAAAGCATGAAAAGAAAGGTAAGAGCTATGATTTTTCATAACTACACTGTTTTCAGTGTGAATAATTCCAAATTATATAATTTTATCCTGAAATCTAAGCACTACTTAATATACCGTTTTTGTCTTGCCCTTTATTTTCATCACTGTCTTTCTCTCTGGATCCTAAAACGCTCTCACTGGCACTGTCTTTTGATGCTGAAACAGTTATCAAGAAAGATACATTTCAAATTTTAGTTGCCAAATGTTTCTATCTAAAACTATGCATGATTGACACATTTATTTGAGTTGACTTGTGCATGTAAACATCAAGTACCCTTCTTTAGTTGCAATTAAAATTACAAACCCTGCATGTATTTAAGTAAGGAGAGTTTAGATTTGAATCAACATAGAACTCCATAGCTGATAAATTATATTTTCTCTTAACCTGGTTGCATTGGTGATCACAGCTGATTAATATTAGATGGTCAAGTAGTGTAAGTAAGACATTGTCAGGAAAGTTATTTTTCAATCTTTGCAGAAATCAAAAGAGAAAATGAAATAATAATGGTGAGTGATTGACAAAATCAGATGACTGCGAAGCAAGAATCCGTTTTGTTAATCAGGAGTATGACTACAGACAGATTTGGTTGACACAATTTATTATAACTGTTACAATATCTGGAAGAAACAGAAAATAAGAACAAACATCTCCAGTTGAGACAAAGTCTAAAAAATTCCTTCATGGTGGCTTCTATGTTTAATGTGATCAATTCTGTGATTGGTGGATGTAGCTGAGTGGACTTAGCATGATTGGCTGCTTCAACTGTCCAACTACAGGTGTCTGATTACAGCCAACTGTCTGATTGCACTGTCCCATTACAACTGTACAGAATGATTAGTGAAAAATAAAGCACCTAATACACTGACAAAATTTGATGAAATTTTAATGGTTATGATTAAATATAAAATTACTTTAATGAGTGCATGAAACTTATTTGAAAGTGTGCCCCTAGCTTATATGCAATGTGAAAGAAATTAAATGAGAAACTTTAATTACTGGATGCATAAAGTTGATATCACTCTTTACACAATCTGCTGAATTTATAGTTTTTCAAAACATTTTATGCCCCCCTCATCGCACTATTGGATAATGATGCTCACATCACTACTAAAACTTCTATCAACTTCTTTCAAACTTTTGAAATGCAATTAAAAATCAATAGAAAGATATATACATCTGTATCTATATACACCTGTTTTACAACTTGTGTCCGATACCCTGGTGCAACTGGCAGATGCTATCTCATGAGGGGCACACTGTTGACAGTTTTTACAAGAGGATGAGTCTAGCTCAGCAGAAAATGTGCCTGAAGGGCATTTTTCGCAAGATATTTTGAGCATTTCTTCACTTGTCAATTGTTTTCCACATGGAGGATGCAATCCAAATCCAGGATAACACATGTCACAGGGAAAGCACTTCACAAAGCTTCCATTTGAGCTGACAACGGTGTACTCGTCATCATGACAGATTTTATTACAGTAGACGTGTACTTCCTAGCAAGAAGAAAAAGGAGAAAAATGTGTTTAGTAGCCATGGTTTGCTTCATGCCAAGTCTCATCAGGTTGCTAAATAAGTGGTTTAAATCAATAGGTCCCTTATAGATTCATTCATTATTCATCAAGCATTCTACTGAATAATTGTTTGCCATTTATGTAGGCCAGTCACCCCAATAAAATGTTTTGTTTCCCATGGCCAACCATTTTGTGTAAGTCTTTTGGTAAGTCAGGTAAAAAGGAAAAAGAACAAAAAAAAAAAAACAGACTGAAAGAAAAGAGAAGTCAGAGAGAGCCTGATGCATGACTTTATAAAAGTCTGGATGACTGTGTCAGTAATACTCATCATTTTTTTCACCAAATTGTTTCACACAAAATATACAGGCAAGGAAATTTGGTATAAATGTGGGTTTTTAAACAAGATAAAGTCTCTATCACCTGCTTTCAAAATAATATTGAGACTGAATTAAGATTTCAATTGATATTTTGCAGGTATTTAAGTCAGCTGTTTAACTTGAATTTTTCTTGGTCTACTTTTTCTTTAAAAAAAAAAAGGGCTGTAAAGGGGATAGGAAGTGTACGATTTCATTCGTTTTACTAAGGAAGCACAGGACATATTAGTAGAGAAATTATTCATATGTCAATTTGCAGACTTTCAATGTCAACAACACTTGCAAGGAAAACTTCAAAAGCTTCCCTAACTCTCATTAACCTCTTGTCAATTCCACAACAAGTATCCTTGTCAAAGTCTGCAGACTTCATTTTCGTTATTTTTTTCCATCCACACACTTTCAGGGAAAAGTTAATTCTCAAAGAGAAAAATTGCCAAGGGCAACAAATTAAGAAAGGAATAAATGTGGCTCGAGAGATCTTTTTAAATAAAATGATGTATTACATGTGTGTGGTACAAGACTAGATTTATATTTCTGTATCTCGATCGAACAAAGTAAATCAATAGATAATTTTGATTTGACGCGTTTCAAATAAGATCATGATGAAAACTTAAAGATCACGCAGCTTGTGTTCTCCACTTGCTCAAAAGGTTTCAAAGGCGTAAATAATTAATAGATTTTGGTGACAGATTCTTCTCCATTTAAAACCCATCGCATTTAAATGATAGAAACTGATGTGCTCATCAAATCTCTCGATGAAAGAAGAAGATTGAGCTTTCTTGAACGAATTAACTCATTTTCACACTAATTATGGATGTTTTAATGTAATTAAGTTTCTTAACAAACGTGCCAAAGAAATTAAAATTTATATCACTTACCAAACAGAAGCAGGAAAAGGCTAAAAACACAAATACTGACTGCATAATGATCCAGTGTCAAATATGAGCTTGTCTCATTTGTCTGCAGAGACAAAACAACGTAGTAACAAAAGCTTCGCTTCACGTTGGGTTGACAACCGTAGACTCTGCAAAATGTTGGTTGAGTTAACACTCTTGTAATTACACCGTAAAATAGATTATAAGTGAGTTGTATTGAAGATGAGAGTCGTTAAAAGCCAAATTGGCAGAAAGTAACATAAAGCAACGACGAAATCCAAGAAATCTTCCAAAGAATCCCTAAAACTGAGTTAGAGTACTTCGGCCCGTGAGCAAAACGCACGCTGTTCGCAGGTGTATAACGCATGAGCAACCCACTCAATGCACGATCACAGAGGTAACTCGAGAATCATCTTTCATACAGCATACGATTACAAACGATTACCTGATCTGTAATTAAATTAGAAAAGAGCCGTCATCTTCCTTACGAAGTTAATTTCAGATGTCTGTCGCGAATTCAGTTGAGCTTGCAAGATAGTACAACGAAGGCGGAGTCACGAGACTTGCTCACTCAGCCCCATGCCCGCCGCATCTTTATGTCACGCAAGCAATGCGGAAGTATGTGCGGAATTTCATTGGTTTTTAATACTGATGTCTAAAATGAATGGATATCAACTGAGAGGGAGAGAGAGATCAGGAGGGTAGTTCGTGTCGATTTTCAAGGTACTTCGCGATTTGGTAAGAAAACCGTAAGCCTAAGATCGTCACACAACGCTTACCTCGAAGGAGCATGAAGAACAAACAGACCAGAGGTCGTAAATTCTACAATGGAAACGAACAAGGCAAGCAACCTAAGTCAAATGCCGCTAAACGTTCTGTTAATCAACTAATTCGGCGATGGCGTAAACTTGGCACTAAGGTATTATATTTCCGTATCACCAAAGTTATGTCTGACTCGACTTTCGAAAGCTTGGCACAAGGGAAAAGGTAAGATAAAATGTCAAAAAAATGCATGAATTCGCTAATCATAGATGATGATGAGCTCGAGATTTTTACCGCGTGAGAGCGAAGCCCAGTGGCCAACATCAACTATCACGCTAAAGAAATTGAGGACGAATAATCCTATTGTTTTCATATCAATCAGGAGCTCATTACCAATGGGCTCCTGAATCAATCTATTTGTCGTTTAAACTCAACAAAAAGACAGGCTCATGTTTTGTTGTTGTTGTTTTTTTTTCACAATCGCTTGAAGTCAGGAAAGAGATTACAATAAGTTTATAATCCTAAATTGTTAAGCTTCTCACTTTATTGATTGTCTATCACTGAAGCTACATAGCGAGTAGCGTCGCCAGTCAGGTTGCAGCATCTGTGAAAAGAACATCAGTTGATTTGTAATTCATTGTATAATAGCGCTCTTTGCGGGCGCTGATTCGCTAGCTCGGAGGAGATTACCACAGCATATTTATTACTATTAGTACAAATACCAAAGTACTAAGCGACTAGAGAGCTACAAAATGGATTCTCATTTCGCTACGGCTCACTTAAGAGAAAAGCATTTCAAAAAACGAGTCAGTCGTGACAAAAAAAATTATATGGATAGCGGCAAAGTCCAGTAGGATGGCTTTACACTGTTATTGCATTAAAAGAAAGGTTTCGTAGGCTGTTGAACTCTAGAAAAGGAAAAGTACCTAAAACATGTCATGTTTTGCAGCATTGTAGTCTTAGTTGCAAAAAAATGGAAGAACCAATACCTGGGCAGGTATACAATGCATCCTAAAGAAATCCAAGCTTCCAGTCGCCTAAAGGACTTTTAGAAAGTAAACACAAAATGATTTTGAACGAAGTGGAGGGTACTTGAGAGAGTGGTTGTTATTAAGAATTGACTGTATTCAGGGCCCCGATACATACATATATATACATATATATATATGTTTCATTCTGCTTGCTTTGTCCGATGAGTGCACCATTCAATAATTTACATATCCTGATTTAACAATTTCAAGAGAGTACCAATGTTCAATAAGTAATGCTTTCTTTCGAAGATTGATGTTTACTTTCAGTAATACACATATATATTTAACCTTACACCTGGTTAATTTTGGAAAACAAAAATAATTATTCTCAGCTTCAATCTTCATTATCTCATGCAGATGTATATATATATTTTTCCATTCTGCTTTAATTCTGAGAAGCTGTTGTCTCCAAAATCTAGTTGCAATGGCTGCATCTAGCTGAAGTCGCGTCATGATCTGAAAAAAGTATCCGAAGACTCGAAAATTAGCTCATTTATACAATACAAGCTATACCGTGAGAAAATAGAGCCCCGTGATGAGGGAACAGCTTTTTTTTTTGTCTCGCATAAACTTTTCAAAAATTATTACTTATTGACGTGAATTTTGCCGTACAGGTCCTGTTCAGTTTGATTATTTGCTTTTGATCTTCATCACGTGACAGCCTATTCCAGCTTTGAAAGCAAAATTTTGAAACTACTTTGTTTCATGTAGCAAAATTCTAGACCGGTTGGCAGGCTGAATAATCCGCGTGGTCGATGTTCTTCAATGGAAATTTAGAAGAGCTTGGCGTGACCTTCACAGTTTCACCTTGGTAACCAATGGAATAACACACCTATATCACGTGACTCTTAGTTATGCCGTGTTGCACTCCAATTTACTCTCTCTATTGCGGGGCGGAAGTATTGGATTTCAATTTGTCACTAATTATGGACATCAAGTCCTTGAAAGGCGAAAAATATCACCCATAACTACTAGGGTGTTTGATTTCAGTGTTTTTTAGAACTTAGTAAGATTTAAAGGATACTACAGTAAATTCAGGAACCAGCACATTCACACCGAAAGGTCGAGAAAGAGACGCTAAGGTCAGTTTACTCATTCAAGCTACCAAATTGGTTGCTGCCATGCTTACTTCTTAAGAGATCTCAGTTTAAATGATGACAGGAATGGAGGATATAAGAGATTGTGATAAGCTTGATAGCAATTTAACCAAAACTCTGCTTTGACCTGCTTTAGTTAAATGTCAGGAGTAATTTCACCTGTAGGTATAAATCCTGTTTAACTCGCGATCGATAACCATTTCAGTCGACAAAGTTGACCAACATTTAAACTTTTGGTGGAGTTATTTAGAGAAAGAGAAGACCACCGAAAGCTGGCAAGAAGACTATAAGTGTTAGGAACATTTTGAGCCTAGAAGCCCATTTAGAGCACCCGCGGAACTTGATTTATACAAAAACTTTATACTATAAATTTGCATATGGATATTTGTTATTTAGATGCATTGAGTTTCGGAATTTGATTTTTTCACTGTCTCAATCATTATGGAGTGTAATTAGAGAATTCGAAAGCGCTTCTTCCTCACAAAGTTATTTGCTCCGTTTCATGTTAAAACTGACAACCTTTGTTCGTTACGAAATCATTATAATTTAAGCAAAGTGCGGTGCTCGTGCTTATGCTAATTGTATAGTTGTGCGTGCTCTGCGAGTGTGAAGGTGATAATTACATGGTGGAACAACAAGATCGAAGGAGTTTTCGGTCGCGTTACGTAGATCAATCATACCTCTGTGATGCCAGCAAAAATGAGCTGCCTCCTTACAGTCTGGCGGTTCAAAAGCATTACAATCATGATTCAAACTATCATCGATTATCTGGTGTTTCAGTGGCTGCCCCAGATAATTGTTTTGGGATAGCAACTCGATTAGAACAGTCCCTAATGTTAGCCAGACTCGACTGAATACGAGCACTTTTGTGTCTTGTTTTTCTATTATGAAATAAGTACCTGTCCGTTCATTGCTTCCTTAATCTGTCTGCCTTGTTATAGAAGTCAGATGAGTGCACCACTCTATCATTTATATATTCTGAATTAACAATTTCAAGAGAGTATCAATGTCAATGCTTTCTTTTGAAGATTAATGTTTGCTTTCAATAATATACATTTATATTTAACCTTACAGCTAATTCATTTTTGAAAAAAAAAATATTTACATTCAACTCCAATCTTCATCATCTAATGCAGCAAAAATATATGTTCAAATTTAAACTTATTCAGTTTGATTTATAACAAAGTTCGGATATAACGTGCGCTGCCATTGGTTGAAAGAGCGTCTTCTATCAGAGTACAAATCAAGGAGCGGAACTATAAGTTGTCACGCCATCTGCCATTTCCCGGACTTCTCTTTAGCTTATTTTCGTTAATTGAAAGTCAAATTTTTGAACAGTCGGGCCGGCAAGTAGCAACAGAAGAACCAAACAAAGGTTTGAAAACATGTTAAGTGCCGTAATTGACGAAATTATAACGTGAGCAAAGACCAATATCACCAAAGAGAAAACTTAATGGACTTTCCGAGTTTTGAAGGTTTTTACGCTTAGATTGTCTTTTCATTACCTGCACACAGCAAACACTCGTATAGTATATGTAGTTTCGTGTCCAAAAACAAAACAGAAGAAAAACAGGAATGATGAAAATGAAAAAAAAAAAAAACCAAACTGGCCCAACTGTTTAGAATTTATACAAATCACGGTGTAAGAGAAACTGTGATCCTAGCTCATCATGGCAATCTTTGGTCATCGTACTGATGGAAAGGATAGCTCTGCCATACTTTCTGATTTGCTGAGAGGAAGGCCACAACAGACGGGTTTTAGGGACGCTTCCACCCCGAGCAGTCTTCATATTCCTGTGAATTCGGCTGTCGATCATTCATGAAACAGACCTCTTGAGCAGTTTGTTTTCCAAGTATTACGTTAAAAAACTTGCGTGTTTTCACGAGCCACAACTTGGCCGAATTTCACTGAACATTGCAGATTCTGTATTTAGACTTACAAACTACGAGCCAAAAAGTTCAATTCGAGTTGCCGAATTATTTGCGCTTGTAAACCACTGCAGATTGTGAATGATTTGACATTTTTGACAGCTTTATTCTTATTCAACCAATTAGGAGTATTTGCACTTCTGAATAACCTATTTTAGCGAGTTTCATGAGAGTATGAAACATGCTATATTTATAGTATATATATGAAAGTGTCTCTTTTTGACGAGAAAAAAAAGGTACATATAATTCATGTATATTTCCAAACTGCGACGTTTTTGAAAACGGGTGTATATATATATTAAAGCACTATAAACTCTCGCAGCTGATTTAATGGTTATCAATTTGTTTAAGGTTTTCCGGCATTTTTCAACTCGCTTGTCATATTCATTTCCGATTTTAGGACTAGTATTTATGACATGGCAGAAGAAGCCTTAGGATCAACAAGTCTTAAAGCAAATTTTCATCGCCTGACACGATTACTGATGCGTGGAGGTGTGCATCTTTTGCGGGAGACATTTGACTCCATTCACTCACCAGCTGATCTCCCTTTGAGACTCGCTGATCCTGCCATACAGGTACAGCTGAGAGGAGCAAGACTTACCCAGCCAGAGAGGGCTTTTCTGTACCCATCCCCAGGGATGTATGGAAAGTCCAACGATTTTGACATTACATTAATCTTCAAGTTACTCAGGACAATATGCAACCTGACCCCTCCCCCTGGACCGAGAGGATGGGATGATTTACCGAACGGCTCCGACCACACTTTGGTGGCAGATTTAGTGCGAATAAAATACTATCGAAATGAGATTCATGGTCACCGTCACAGCATGGAAATATCTGACACTGAGTTTGTTCGTCTCTGGAAGGAAATTAGTGAGGCTCTGTTACGAATTGCGGCAAATATTAGTCCTGCAAAGAGAGATGAATGGAAGAAGTCCATTAATAATCTTTGTCGTAAGCCTTTGACGTCAGATGAGGAAAGATGCATTGAAGAGCTAGAGAACTGGTATAAACAAGATATGGATCTTAAAAATGAAGTGGCAGAGCTTAGAAAGGAAGTGAAGACTCTACTAACCTTGGTTTTAGGTCAGTAAAAGAGTAAATTTAAGTCCCCATCAGACAAAAATAAGGAAACCTTTTCCTCAGTTCCCTTAAATGTTAATCTAAT